CAGCAGCTCGAAGAATCAGAAGGTTGTGCAAGTATGTATCTAGTGTTGAGGAAATTAAATGAGCTGTATATTTCATAGTGAACGGGGTTCGAATTCCAAAAACAACGTTATTTGTCCTGGTAAAATGTTTCACTTAATTAACAGGTTCACCTCGTAATTTGTAGTAGAAGCTATGGTGATTTTGAGATATTTCCACATTATTAATAAATAAATAAAAATCCTTAAAATCGATTCATTAACTAAAAAAGCTAACCTCTCAAGTAACTGAAGAGTGACCAAAAATAAATCCTTAAAATCTTGGATTCATGCCCATGCATGTGAATTTGTCCGCATACCCACGTACAAGAAATGGTCCCTTTCCCATTTCTATACCAATAACATATTCTTATAAAATAAATAAATTTAAAAAAATATAAAGAAAATAGCTTTGAATTGTGACCAAATTAATTAAATCAAATTCCAGATTGCAATGGGTGGTGGTTCGCCGCAGCGCATAGGATTTCCGTGGCTTTAATTGCGTGACCTATGGATTCATTTGGGAATTTGGATTATTATTATTTATTTATGTGCCAAGTGATTGGAAACTGCGATGTATGTCCAATATTTAAATTACAATTATTTATTGACCAAGATTACTCACCATTATTAATTCAATGTAACAAAATAATAAATGGAAATTGTTAAGAGTGGAGCGCCACGTGTCAGACCGAGATACATATGACAGGTTTCATCGTACCGCATCGATTCAACACGTGTGTCCGTGGAGCAACCCTCCTTGGTCGGAAAATACTTATTTCCATTTTGCACAGTGCAACATATAATTCATTTCTTTAATTTAATTATTTGTCTCAATTAAGGGAGCCATCTTATAAGATACGATATGCAGCGTGTTTTCTACCCATGCACATGTTTCCCAATTACTAACAGCTTCACCGTATCTAATTTGGTGGTCCAATTTTCACCGAATGAAGTGATTTATAATTTGGTTAAACACATAAAAATTCAGACCAATCAACAACTCCCAATTAATTAATGCGTAGTTAACCCATTTTAATCTCGTATCTTACGTGCCTTAATATTTCATGCACGATGCTTACAAACTCTAATCAATCGGTCAATCATTGATCATAATTTACATATTTTCTTTATCAGTTTATGAAATTATTCTCGAATCCTCCTCTTCGTATAATGATTGTCTTCGAGCTCGCCATCAACTCACTTTTTTATTCTCTTGCGAACCGAGACGCACTAATGGACATTTGCCAATGCGAGTTATCTGACCTCTTTACTTGATGCTGCCCCAAAAATGATGGGTCAGCCCAATGGTCTTGAAGCCCACAGGTCTTCTAACTCCGGGAATCTTCAAGCCCAATATCAGGAATGCTGAGAGTCCTTGCCACGCGTCCGAGGTAGTCGAAGGGATCGCTCCACTCGTTAACCTACAAAACAATTGAAAACACTAGGTGACACGCCGGGGGTGGCCCGGCGATTGTCCTCCGACGCTCAAGTCAGAAAACTATCACAATATAAGCAAATAATATTAATTAATTGCCTAAATAGTGCTTACCTTATTATATGAGTTAAATCACATATTTATAGGTGATGGAATATGGAGACTTCTTGTAGAAATCCGATGTGGGACAATATGTTATAACTAAAATCCTATTGAATTTTAGTAGATGTGATAATTGGGCTTTTATTATTAATTGGATTGATTTGGCCTTTTACGCCAAAAACCCAATTAAGAATTAGGCACATCATTAAGCCCCCCACTCCCAGGTTGGGCCACGGCCTCGTGGACCTGCCTGGGAGTAAATAAGAAATGGTCGCTTGAATACGTATCTCCCCTTTTTTTTTTCTGTTAGGAGAAAATACCGAAATTGCATTTTATCTTTTTCGGAAAAAATTGCCAATGGCTAATTTGTTTTGGAAAATGCTTCGAGACTTCGTGAATTGGGAGTCTGTTTTTCTTCAAGAACGAGAACTTAATTTATCTTCCTTAATAGGTGATATCCCTTGGCTTTAGTGCTTAATCGGACTCGCGCATTTCCTAAAGAATGAGTTTTGCTTTATCTTTTCCGGTGAGACGGTATCCCTTGGCTATATTGCCTATTGAGAGGTTCGGCTCTCGTAAAGAATGAGCTTTACTTTATCTTTTTAGGTAAGACGGTATCCGTTGCCTTTAACGCCTAATGGGAAGTCCATTTTTGAAAAGAATGAGTTATGCTTCATCTTTTTCGGTGAGACGGTATCCCTTTGGCTATATCGCCTAGTAGGAAGCTCGACTCTCGTAAATAATAAGCTTTTACTCTATCTTTTTTGGTAGGACGGTATCCGTTGGCTTTAACGCCTAATGGGAAGTCCATTTTTGAAAAGAATGAGTTATGCTTCATCTTTTTCGGTGAGACGGTATCCCTTTGGCTATATCGCCTAGTAGGAGACTTGACTCTCGTAAAGAATAAGCTTTTACTCTATCTTTTTTGGTAGAACGGTATCCCTTGGCTTTATCGCCTAGTGGGAAGCACTCATTTCGTAAAGAATGAGTTATGCTTTATCTTTCTAGGTGAAACGGTACCCCTTGGCTTTATTGCCTAGTGGGGAGTCCGTATTTTTGTACTTGGTGGTTGATCAAACCTCAAGTTTTTTATGTGGGAAGTCCGTTTGCTTAAGTGTTTTATACGAACTTTTATGGCAGATCAGACTTCCTTGAGCTTTAGTTGCTCTATTTTTTGGAGCTCCGGGGAGCGAGAAACCAAGGTTCGGGTTGGCCAGACCTTTTGTGATCCTTGATATCTTCCCCTTTAGTTACTTTTTGAATCTATTATTTTTTTGTTAAATCGATTGTAAATGCTCTGCGTGCAGAAGACAAATGGTTGATGTAGAAATTACGGCGGCAATATCCCACCGGCTAAAAAAGTTTATTAAGAATCACGCGGCCTGTGGTGTGCCGCCGACTTATTACATAATTGAAAATATTGTGCGGGGTGGTATGCCACCGACTTATTATATGATTGGAAATATTGCGCGGGGCGATATGCCCCCGACTTATTGCTGAAAAGAAATGACATGGGGCCCGCGTGGGGCAATAATAAATATTAAGTAAAGTATTTCTTTAGGATTGCGATTGTTCTAGGAATTCGCTCAAGTGCCCCTCTTGGAGAAGTCTTTCGAGTGATTGCTTAAGCTGAAAGCACTCCTCAATAGCGTGACCACGATCTCTGTGGTATTCACAGTAGTTATCCGACTTTTGTCGTTCTGGATTCTCATTCATCATTTTCGGTGGTTGAAGAATACCCTTCTGCTCAGCGATGATCATAATGTCAAGAAGTTTATCCTTGAGGTGAGAACTTCCCGAAGGTGCGATTTTCGATGGGATGTCTCTCTTCTTCTCTATTACAGTTGTGGCTTTCCACCTCGCGCTTTCATTTAAGGGGTACTCTCATCTCCGTGATTTCCTCAATCCGCATGTACTTCCCAGTGCGGTTCAAGAGCTCCTCCAGGGTCTTAGGGGGTCGGCCCGTGATGGACTCTCGAAAACGAACATGCTTCAAATTTTGTTGTAGTATGCCGGCTAACATCTTGTGAGTAACGTGGCGCACTTCATGTACTGCTTTGACAAATCGTTGTATGTAATCTCTGAGTGGCTATCCGTCTCGTTGCATGACCTTGAAGAGATACGATCCAGTTTTGGCATATTTCTTATTCATTGAGTCGTGGTTAAGGAAATGTGTCGCTAGTTGGTCCAGATTGTCTAAGGACCCTCCGGGCAAGCCGTTGAACCAAACTTGTGCGTGATCAGTCAGCGTAGTCTGAAAAATCTTGCAGTAAGCTGCGTTACTGAGGCTGTAGAGGTCAAGCTTGACGTAAAAGTTATTTAAATGTTCTTGGGGATCTCCGGTCCCGTCAAATTGGGGTAGATTGGGGGATCCTAAATCCGAGGGGTAAGACTTCTTCCATAATGGCAGGAACAAATGGGCTTATTCGAGCGGGGAATGTTTCAAAGCGAGCGGTCGTTGGCCTCGAAGCTTTTTGTCGAGGTCTCCTTGAGTTACGGTCATCAATGCCATCACGACTCATTTTCTTTTCAGATTGGGAATATCTACTTCCAAATTTATTTCCAATAGAGTCTCTATGGCGATAGGAGCGCTCGCTATTCCTGTTGTATCGTGATTCGTGGCGTGCCACACCCGGCCGAGAAGAAACACTTCTCTCTCGACGGCTATGCGCCGCTCTCTCCCTTGGAGGAGCCCTCTGCCTCAAGGGGCGTGGTGACCGGCGGCGAGCTTCTCTTCGAAGGGGGCGGTTCGATGATGGGTTGTGATGAGGCGATTGGTGGCGAGCGTATCTTCGAGGCTCACGATCTGAGGATGCGCTACACTGAGGCGAGTGGTGGTGAGCCTCTTCGAGGAGCTCGTTCAGAGAAATAACTTTGGCTGTCGAGCGATACTCTTTTAAGGCTTGTAATTCCTCTGCAGTCATCTAAATGACCGGCGCTGAAGATCCCGCAAGGTTGGCCGCTCCCGTCGTTCTCTCCCTTCGAGGCGGCTCTATGACTCCAGCGTTACCTTGAAGTGGTTGGTTGAGATCGCCTTGACCACCTTCGTTGGCCGCTCCCGTAGTTCTTTTGGTTCGAGGCGGCTCTAAGACTCTACCGCTCTTCGGGGCGGCTCTGAGACTCCGTCGCTTCCTCGAGGCGGCTCTAAGACTCCTCCGCTCTTTGAGGCGGCTCTGAGACTCCGTCGCTTCCTCGAGGCGGCTCTAAGACTCTTCCGCTCTTCGGGGCGGCTCTGAGACTCCGTCGCTTCCTCGAGGCGGGCGGCTCTAAGACTCTTCCGCTCTTCGGGGCGGCTCTGAAACTTCGTCGCTTCCTCGAGGCGGGCGGTTCTAAGACTCTTTCGCTCTTCGGGGCGGCTCTGAGACTCCGTTGCTTCCTCGAGGCGGGCGGCTCTAAGACTCTTCCGCTCTTCGGGGCGGCTCTGAAACTTCGTCGCTTCCTCGAGGCGGGCGGCTCTAAGACTCTTCCGCTCTTCGGGGCGGCTCTGAGACTCCGTCGCTTCCTCGAGGCGGGCGGCTCTAAGACTCTTCCGCTCTTCGGGGCGGCTCCGAGACTCCGTCGCTTCCTCGAGGCGGGCGGCTCTAAGACTCTTCCGCTCTTCGGGGCGAGTGGTTGGGATCGCCTTGATCCTCTTCGTCATGACACGTGATCTAGTTTGCCTTCCCACAGACGGCGCCAAAATGATGCTGCCCCAAAAATGATGGGTCAGCCCAATGGTCTTGAAGCCCACAGGTCTTCTAACTCCGGGAATCTTCAAGCCCAATATCAGGAATGCTGAGAGTCCTTGCCACGCGTCCGAGGTAGTCGAAGGGATCGCTCCACTCGTTAACCTACAAAACAATTGAAAACACTAGGTGACACGCCGGGGGTGGCCCGGCGATTGTCCTCCGACGCTCAAGTCAGATAACTATCACAATATAAGCAAATAATATTAATTAATTGCCTAAATAGTGCTTACCTTATTATATGAGTTAAATCACATATTTATAGGTGATGGAATATGGAGACTTCTTGTAGAAATCCGATGTGGGACAATATGTTATAACTAAAATCCTATTGAATTTTAGTAGATGTGATAATTGGGCTTTTATTATTAATTGGATTGATTTGGCCTTTTACGCCAAAAACCCAATTAAGAATTAGGCACATCATTACTTTTTTGACAAACACTTCAACTCACCTCGTTTCTGACCATTCATTGGGACATGGCCCCACAGGTTATGGCCTATCTTGATTTTGAGCTCAACTCTAATCATTCATTGGGCCTTGGCCCACTAATCTTGAATACGAGAAGTTCGGCCCAATAGCACCGAACTGACCCGATCATCTACAAAGACTTCACTAAAGCCTGATTTGATTGTCATTTGTTCCCCTTATAGATACATAAATTGTTTTATATTACATGGAATTTCATTGGATTATTATATTTTATTATATGATCCGATCCGGTAGTACCGGTGCGAGAGAAACGGAGATTTGTGAGGAAGGAAGGGAAGAAACGCCAACTGGAGTAGTTGACGTGTCAACTTTGACGACACGTGTCCACTTCTCACACAGATCTGCATGCCACTAACGAGATCAACTCGTTACTCATTTTTAAGTTTTTTAACTACAAATCCATTCTAAATCCTCATCTTAAATTTCTGCATTTCTTATTTCTATTTTTTTCGCAAGAGAAACACATTTAATTATAGGCTGGGAATCTCACTCGCTGGGAGCAAAAAATTCCTGAAAATTCTAATTGCCCAAATCGAGAGTATGTAATTTAATATTAAAACCTTTTTTTTTTAATAGATTCGATTTCCAGTTGATGAAATTGTGCATCTCCAATTTAATTATTTTCTGCATTGGTATATTTAATTTGCTTTGTGGAGATATTTCTTACTTGTTTGATCATCACTACTTCTTGTGTGCCCTAATTAGTAATTTTGGGTGAAACAAATTAAACCAGCTACGATTTTTTTTTTTCTATTTTTTGCAGATTTAATTATCTCAAATGATAAAATTAATTTCATAGGTTTTATTGAAAAAGAAATGCAAGTGGATGGATTACTCAGCCTACTTGTTTATGAACGGAGATATATATAAAGATCTTCATCTGCCGGCGTTGATTTTAGCCGGGTGCTTTGTTTCTGTAGCATTAGTCCTTTCTCTTCTCCTCACTTTCCAACATCTCCGATCCTACACTAATCCTCCGGTAATTAATTACTACGTGTCTGTGTGTATATATGTATATATGTATGTATAATTAACTGGGATTTTTAATTTAATTTCAACCAGGAGCAAAAATGGATTGTTGCTGTTATTTTCATGGTTCCAGTTTATGCCACAGAATCTGTAAGTATATATGTATCTATCTATTATATATTCTGCATGAATAATATAGGTGATTCTATTAATTATGCTGGTTTATATATATACATAAGGTTTAGTTATGTTAATTAATTCGATCCGTAATCGTTTTTTAATTATCTAGATCTTATCGTTGTGGAACGCAAAGTTATCGCTTGCTTGTGATATATTGCGGAATTGCTACGAAGCGTTTGCCCTGTATGCATTCGGGAGCTACTTGATTGCGTGCCTCGGTAAAGACTTGCAAATATGGTTTATACTTTCTCGATTGTGTATTATTAGTTACAAGGGAATAGCATTCGACAGGTGGCGAACTAGAAGTCTTGAACTTGCTTGAAGACGAGGCGGATAAGCAAATTAACGAGCCGCTGCTGGAAGGCCGGAAAGATAATCCCTCTCCGTCGGAACAGAAAACATTTCGTAACTTCATTCTCCGACCATGTGTGCTCGGAAAGGACTTGTTCGCAATTATAAAATTTGGTCTAGTGCAATACGTAAACCCCCTTCCTCTTTCACTTATTTCCATTTTTACCCCTTTTATTCGTTGCACGCCCTTTTTAAGTTCCGATTTTTTTCGCAGATGATTCTCAAGACTCTTTGTGCTCTATTAGCATTTGTGCTGGAGCTATGTGGAGTTTATGGTGATGGAGAATTTAAGTGGTACTACGGGTACGTATTACATTTATAAATTGAGTCTCGATTATTCGAAATTTCCATCTTTTTTTTCTTTTTGACGTTTTTTTTTTTTATTTCTTGCAGATACCCGTATATTACGATAATTTTGAATTTCAGCCAGATGTGGGCATTGTACTGCCTCGTTCAATTCTACAACGTGACTCATCGAAAACTCGAACCAATAAAACCACTCGCTAAGTTTATTAGCTTTAAAGCAATTGTATTCGCCACGTGGTGGCAAGGCGTAGGCATTGTTTTATTGTGCACTTTTCGAGTCCTACCAAAGGAAGGGAAATTTCAAACCGGTCTTCAGGATTTTATGATTTGTATCGAGGTAACGAACATCCTCAAATATACAAGTAAAAAATTACCACTTTTCTTAAGGCAAAAAATTATGTTTTTTTTTTTTTTTATTGTATGACAGATGGCGATTGCAGCAATTGCTCACATATTCGTCTTCTCTGCAAAACCCTATCGTCATTATTTCGTAGCGGCTTCCCACTATGGAGAAGTGACCACTCACCAAGAAACGAAAGCTATGGTCAATATAGAAGAAGGAGATAAAGACAAGCCAGCACTTCTCGAAAAGAAAGAAACGGAGGTCAAGGCCCCCGGAACTAATATTAAAGAAAGCGTGCAAGATATTGTCGTCGAAGGCGGTCAAAAGGTCAGACCTTCTTTATCCCATTTTCAGACACGGATAATTTCGATTCATTAATTGATCAAAAAGAAGAAAAAAAACATTATTGTCTGAAATTAATTAATTAATCAACAGGTTGTGAAAGACGTGGTGCTGACAATTAACCAAGCAATCGAGCCGGTACACGAAGGCATGACGAAAATCCAAGAAACCTTCCACCAAATATCAGTGTCCGATGAAACCAAAGACGAGACAGAAGTCAAAGTCGAAGAACACGAACAAAATATCACTACAGAGCATGAAGTGTAACTATATATATATTTATATACATAAATCCGAAAAAAATTCAGACAAACTATTATATATTGTTGTTACCCATCTCCACTACAGCAGCACGCATAACAACCTAAACAAGCCAATGAAGCGCAGAGCTGAGTGAGTAAAATAGCAGCTTGATCGTTAATCTTCGAGCACGTTTGTATAAAGCACATGCAGCCGCAGCAGTCGTTGCAGAGTTTGCTATAGCAGCTAGAAGCTCCTCTTACAAAAACTTCTGCAGCGTCGCCGGGGTTAGGGTTAGTGGGGCCCGGAGGTACGTTTTCTTTTGTCGCACTTAAATTGCCGAAACCGACGCCGTTGTTGTCCCGTGCTATTATTCTTGGATGTTTTGAATCTTGCGTCTTGCGAGTATCAACTTTTTTGGTCGAGACCTGTCATGAAAACATGGCCGATTGTTGTTAGGTTGTAAAAGTAGAGATAGATTTGTTGTACTGAAGGTATGAAGCACCTTTCGGACAGTGTCTGAATCCGCAGTTGTTTTTATTCGCTCGGTCTCGAGCAGAATCTTGTGTGTGTATTCGGAAATGGTGCCATTTTGAACACTCATATTTTCTATCTGTCGATAAACGAAACAATAGTTTTCAGTATTTTATGATACGGAAGTTTCTAGAAAGTCGGTAATACGAATAGGGAGTACCTTCTCCTTGAGCTGTTTATTGTCTGAATACCAAGCCTCGGTTGTTAGTATGTCAATCTCTTGCTTAGCTAACATCTAATGATAATCCAAAATCATTAAAAAAAAAAAAAGTCGAAAAACCGTCGAAAAAAAGTTGAAAAAACCAACCTTGTGAAGAGGTATTTCCTTTGCATTTTGCGCTTTCAGATTTAACGAAAAACTGCTCATATCTGGAAGGGTACCTTTAACTTTAAGGGTCGTCGGAAATTCCCCGCGGTATCTGCTCCACACAGTTAAGGGACTTTCAGACGAAAGGTCTGAAATCCGACGAGGATAAACCTAACACGAAAACATCAACTTCTTGTTTAGAATGTGTACACGGTGAGAAAACAAAATCGAGGAAAGTCATTTAGGGTAAATAGTACACCTCAAGATCATCGACTTCGTCGAGATTCTCGAAAACGATGTTTGCGAGTAGGATCGAAGATGCTCTAGCAAATAGCTTTCCCATTCGAAGCTCAATTGATTCTGCCAAAATCGGAGAAACGATTAGGACACGTTAGATTGTGATCTCGGGCAGCTATATATATATATACAATCCGAATTAGAAAAATACGTACGGACGTCTGTAGCAGCTTCGTGAACTCCCCCACTGAGTGTTGCAAGCTTTCGGAGAAAATAATGATTGCAGAATGTACCTATCTTACGCCAAAGCATTTGTAATAAGACCAAAACATTTATGTAGGAAAATCACGAGTACAACAAATATCGATACCTATGCCGAGTGTGTATATTCGTGGGGATAAGCTTTTTCGATTTCGATTTGTTAGCTGAGTTTTCATAGTGTCGCAAATATGTCTCTCATTTTCGACGGCCCCATCTGTGATAAGGAAAATTATCGGGATGGAGTTTTTGTGAGTATCGGACAACATCTCGATTGCCTGACAAGTGAAAATTTGGACTTCTGTTAAGGTTGCGATAATGAGGATGATTATTAGCTGGATTTATAGGATAATGAAGAAAGAAAGACCTGATTTAGTGGGAGCAGGATATTTGTACCACCGTTAGCAACAAAATTCGAAGCGACCCACTGAGTGGCGCTTTCGATTGATGCTGAAGTTGCTTGCTTAAGAGACGAAGAAAACGAGTATGTTTCTTCGTTGAACGCAATCACATTGAACAAGTCTTGCGGATCAAGATTTGCTAGCTCGGAGAGAAGGGCTTTTTTGGTGTCCTCGATCGGTTCACCCCTCATACTTCCACTTATATCAACGACATATACCACTTCTCGTCTGAAAACCTGTAAAAATATTGTCCAAAGCAATTCATAAAATAAAAAAATAAAAAACAAATGTCGAAAATAACGATAAACCAATGAGGATTAGGTAATACGTAGTTTACCTTTTCACTCTGCTTCTTTCCGGGAAAAAGGTAGCAACAGAACACGTGTCTTCGATCAACGTCTTGTAATAACGGAGGATTCAAGAACACTGTGCCGTTTATGTGATCAGTCGAAGATAACTGAAGACACACGAATGAGCAAGTGTCGGTTTTTTTTTTTTGTGCATCTTGTAATAGAAGCGATTAATCGGTAAATACAGAAACGGAATCTTACTCTGTATGTGAAGACAAAGTCGCGGCTCGACCACGAATGAACGTCGGAGTTGTACAGAAAGCTCAATTCCCCTGCTCGCACGAATTGCTCCTACCAGAAAAGATTATCCATTAGTCAGTTACTAAATCATCCTTAATTGTCCCGAATAAAGACCGAATGTCGAAAGTCACCTTCAATGGATGACTCATTGTTTTACGCAAAATATCCGTTCCGGGACCAGAGTTAACATTCAGCTCTATCTTTTCATGTTTCGGAATCTTCGTTCCAGCAGGGATTACATACCCCGGAAAATTAAACGGGATATTCAAGGTGAACTGGCCGGCACGATACACTAATTTTTGAGACCATTTGATTTTAACTGAAATATTTGTCCCTCCATCAATCTGAAAACAAAAATCCACACGGTGTTTCGATATAGAATGTATGAAATACGAAGACGATAATCGGATAATTACGGCAAAAAAAAATTTACCTTTGGGATAGTAAGATCGAAAATATGGGGTTTTAAAAAGGCGATTTTTGCCGCGTTTTCGTCACCGATTTCGTTGTCGGTTGTGGTTAGTTGAGTACTGTATGATTTCATGGGTACCTCAACATCAACATTTAGAACTGAACCCTGTTTTTCATCAAGAGAAAATATGAATAAATAAAATAAATAAAATAAAATAAAATAAAATAAAGAGAATTAATTACCTGTTCACCCATGGGGACAACGAGGCGGCAATCACAGCTCCGGCTGCCCATAACGCAATGCACCCGCCACGTGGCGCTGACGGTAACAAACGCCGTTTCCAAATAACAATCCACCACCAACGAAACTCCGTTCATCTGTAGCGGAATCAGCGCCGGAGGATCGCACCTCCCGTGCACGTACGGCTGGTAGCTCGGCATATCCGGGTTGTCCACGATCGCCGGGTCGGCGATCACGGCGTAAAGCATGGGACAAGTCGGGAGGTAAGAATCTCCGGCGCATCTATCCATATCCGACGGTGTCTTCGGCGGCGCCACCGCCCTGTTCTTGCCGTAATATACCCTCTTGGAGAGGCGCAGCCCCTGCTCCACCGCCGCCTCGAAATCCTCCGCCATGGGGACGACACACGACACGACTCCTCGGTATACTTGCTTTTCCGGCGGGGGTTAAAAAAAAATTAAATTTTAAACGACGAGTTTTAGGTTAACTGTTTAACGCGAGATTTTGGAGAGGGAGAGACGGCCGTTAAAACGGTTGGCCATCTGCCGTTCATTTGTTGACGGCAATTATGAGAAAAAACACGTTGTACCTTAGTGGAAGGATAGATTTTGTCGTAAAGGTACAAGCGGCCGAAGCTACAGCTAAGATACTATTGGTGCACAAGGACGAAGACCAATGGGTGTTCGCCACGTAAGCAGCCGGCCAATGTCTCGGAGCAGGTCGACACACACAACCAACAAAATTGTGTGCACACCACCAACTCCACTTTGAAAAGTTTAGTGCGGTTCTAAATTTTAATTAATCTACAGAATAAATTGATGTGTTGTATTTCTAATTAATTTATGTACCTACTTTTGATATTTTATAAACCAAAAAATAGAATAAAAAAACTTTTTTTAATTCTAAGTTAAGATCCTACATGACAAATAGAAGAGATTGAAATCATGCGCAAGAAGTTCCACAATTACTTAACGAGCGATGGCTCCAACAGCTCATCGTTAACCTATAATTGGAACAAAGTAGTTATTAAAATGTGATGTACAAAGAGAGAGTCGAAAAATTGAAGGGTGTTATCTGTATAGTTTTCAATGAGAGTTGCACATCTTGCTTGTGACAGTTGTTGACATTTCACTTGCGAAACATTGGAAATGAGTGATTTTAAGTGGATTTGATTACAGTAGTTCGTTCACACATCCAAAATATTACAACGAGGGATTACTTACTTTTTTTTTCGCCAGTTTTTCTTCTAAGCACAACTTCGTAGCACAACTCCAGCAATATAAGGCAAAATCGCAAGAAAAAATCTTTTATGATGTTCGATGTTGGTTTCTTAAAAAGTAGAGAGAATGTGGGGAAAGAGAGAAGGGAGAGGAGAGAGATGTGATAATTTTGATCGACGTGGTTGGGAGGTGAAAAGATGGTCTGCAATATACAATGTTCGGGATATTTTGGTCCGATATTAATACTGGAAATACCCGACGAACTATTAGCGAAATGCGAAATACGACTTCTCTTCATTTAAAAAAAAATTACTTTCGATGAATGTTTATCAAATTGCATCTTCAAACAAATGTATAGAAGATCTACAAGTGAATGTTAGTAAGTAATCAAATTGCTATTTTTTTCTTGATTAACTTGTTATTAGCACGTAATAAACTTTATAAACACCATAATTAAAAATGAAGAATAAAATTAGATAATTTTATTATAAATTTTACCTTTTGTTTTTGGTCAAATATATATTTTATTATTTCAGCCGTGATTGTATTTTCACAGTTTGGGGTTAGCCAATAGGCGGCGTCCCAGTAGAACTTGCTTCTTTCATCCGCCGGCGTTAAGCCCTACTATTTGCCAACCCCGCCGCGCCGACGATTGCAATCACCGTGGTAGTACCATGGCCACTATTTCCTCCGCCACTTCACTATCACCCCAATAAACGTTGGACAATCCATTCGACACAAATTCCGAACCACAACAACAATGCTAACACTCAGATACGCGAGGCAAACCCGAGCCTTCCTCTCCCCTCCTTCCGCCGCCGCCGCCGCCAATGCCACCGCAACGTTATTCCTCTTCTCCTCCTCCGCTACAGAGATTTACCCTTCTTCTCCTTCCGCATCGACTAATTCAATCACATCGAATGGTTCCCAATCCGAGATGCATCGGAACGACATCGTTTGCTACTTCCGAGAATGGTTCATGTCTCGAAAGAAACCCCTTTTCGACAGCATCTACGAAATCCTCCGCACTCACGACGGGGCCGCCGCCGACATAGCTCTTTCTCGCTTCAATCTCCACCTCTCCGAAACCCTAATTCTCGATGTATTGAATTACGAGAAAAAGGACGTGCTCTCCTGCTTGAAATTCTTCGATTGGGCTGGTCGGCAGCCAGGTTTTCACCACACTAGAGCTACGTTTACTGCCATTTTTCGCATCCTATCCAAAGCGAAGCTAATGAGCTTAATGTTCGAATTTTTGCAGAACTACATGAAACAGAGGTATGTTCATAAGGTCAGATATTACAATATCCTAGTCATTGGTTATGCTGTAGCTGGAAAACCCGAGACTGCACTCCAACTGTTTGGTAGAATGCGATTCGTGGGTGTGGACTTGGATGCATTTGCGTACCACGTGCTTATGAACTCGCTCGTTGAGCAGGGTTATTATGATGTGGTGGAGACTCTGGCGAAAGAGATTAGAGTCCGGGGGTTTCAAAACGAGGTCACACATTCGATTATGATTAAAAGTTTCTGTAAGCAGAACGAGTTAGAGAAGGGCGCGGAATATTTACACAGTCTCGTGCAGGATGATGGGGAGCAGTTGAGTGGAATTGCCGTGGGCACATATGTGGACGCCTTGTGTAAGGATAATCAATTTGAGAGAGCTGCATTATTAGTTGAGGAGTTTCGAAAAATGGGATTGGTTTCAATGGAGCATGCCTACGGTATGTGGATTAGGGACCTTGTCAAGGCTGGGAAGTTGGACGGTGCTTTGGAGTTTTTGAAGGATAAGCAGGCGATTGAAGGGTATGTTCCCGATGTATTTCGTTACAACATGTTGATTTGCAGGCTTTTGAGGGAGAATAGGTTTGAGGAGGTTTATGACATGTTAGAAGACATGAAAGAAAAGGAGGTGTTGCCAGATGATGTTACAATGAATGCTATCTTGTGTTTTTTATGCAAGGCGGGAAGAATGGACATTGCCATGGACTTGTACGATTCAAGCAAGGAGTTTGGCCTCTCTGTTAATTGTATGGCTTATAATTATCTTATAAATACTCTCTTGGGAGATGTCAGTGTTGATGAAGCTTATCGTGTGCTGAGGAACTCAATAGAGCAGGGTTATTTACCTGGGCAAAAGACCATTTCCTTCATCACCGATGTTCTGTGCAGAGAAGGAAAGCTCGATAAGTTGAAGGAGTTGGTTCTTTTTACGTTAGACCACAATGTCATGCCCAATGACTTGGCGTATGACAAGTTCATATCGGCTCTTTGCAGGGCCAGGAAAGTTGAAGAAGGGTACATGGTACACGGTTTGCTGAACACGTTAAATAAATCGGCTCGGAAGAGTACTTACATGGACCTGATCAGCGGATTTAGCAAGTCAAGTAGAGGAGATATTGCGGGTAGATTACTCATTGAAATGCAGGAAAAGGGTTATAGCCCAAGCAGGAGATTGGTGAGAGAGGTAATAGGTTGCTTATGTAAAACAGATAATCCAGAGAATCAATTTTTCAGATTGCTCGAGATGCAGCTTTCCCGCTATCGAATGTCCGCATCTGTTATTTACAATTTCTTCATCGATGGAGCTGGTCATGCGCGTAAGCCTGAACTGGCAAGACAAGTATATGAAATGATGAAAAGAAGTGGTATTAAACCAGACTTAAGGTCTGACATCCTAGTATTGCGAAGTTATCTGAATGGCAACAGAACTGCTCAGGCTTTAAATTTATTCCGTGATTTGTCGATGACAAGCTCTAAGAAGAAATTGTGGCATACCATGATTATTGGTCTTTGCAAAGCCAAAAAGGCAGTGTATGCATCGCAGGTAATGGATAATATGAAGGCACACAATTTGATACCGAGTATAGAATGCTACGAGGAGCTTATAAAGCTTTATTGTGATCTGGGGCAATATTACAAAGCAATAGATATTGTCAATGATATGACTCAAATTGGTCGTCCTATCTCTTCCTTCGTGGGGAATGTGTTTCTATTGCATGCATTAAAAAGTAGAAAACTGTACAATGATTGGTCTTATTTAAGTCACGATCAAAATCTAACACCTGCTTGTTGGATGTTGGGCCATGTAATTGGTGTGTTTTCTGGTTCTATTGAAGGATACCATGAAGACGAGGAGTTGGAGAAACTGATTCAACAGTGCTTCCGAATAGATATTTACACAAACAACATGCTTTTGAGAAGATTAAGCAATTTGGGGATCGATCGTGCTTGTAAATTTTACGATAGATTGCGTGAAAAAGGGTACGAGCCAAATAGATGGACTTATGATATAATTGTCCATGGTTTAGCCAAAGATGGCCGCACAGCAGAGGCTAGAGTATGGGTGGAAGAGATGTTCCGTAAGGGTTTTGGCCTAACTGAGGTCACCCAAAAAATTATTTAACATAGATAAAAAAGTCAAACTGTTTCTTTGGAAGGGTATACTGGACCACTGTGTGGCTTTCGAGAAAGCTCGGTGAGTTGTTCACTTGATTTCCTATTCGAATTTTATTATGGAGAAGGCAATACAGCTCTGGGGGAGGTAGAATGCAGATGCTGCTGTTCCGTGATCTGGAATTATGTGGAGAGAGTCGGAATCAGACTTGTAAATAATTCGATCTGCGTAGATTCATGTGGCTACAAATTTTCGTCCATGAGAGTAAGTCATTTTGTTTACAAGTCTTTTCACTTGCCGATGATCACTTGCAATCAATGCCTATATTTTTGCTTTAAATAGATGTTTGAAGCTAACGATTTGGTTAGCATTGATGTGTGAAGTGATTTTGAATTTCACTTATGGTCGACTATTTTGCTTATGGATGTACTAATTATAACTAAATTAATATTAACACTGTATTTCTCTTGTTTGCTCCGAGCTTATCTTTGGCCTCTACATTTCCTTTTTCTTTTTGGCAGTTAGCGGGCACGATGGTCGTTGGTCGATTTTCGTCGTTTCCTGCAAGGAACAACATCTCTGCTTCTGCTCCTGAGCTGACCTGGCCGCCATACCTTCCAGATTGTAAGAGATGATTGGACAGACTTGTGTGAAGGAATTAGCCAAGTTTGCGAAACAAGTCTTCTACATTACCGTTGTAGGGCATCAAAACGAAGATCCTTCCCCTTGTTTGCTTCACCCGACTTTCGTATGTACAGCTGATGCCTAAAATTTTGAAACATCAAAGAGCTGGGAGTTTTAAGAGGAGCCTATAGACAAACATGGACATATTACCAGTTACCAGTTATTTATTTAATCGATTTTTTTTTATTTTTTTTTGGTGACATTCAGGTTACGATAAATAATATCTTACAGATGGTTCAGCAAAATTAGCAGTAATCACGCCGTCGGGTTATGTCCAGATCCCAGTTTTGTATTAGCTGACTGAGAAATTGAACTAAAATTTTGGAATTCGATAAATTTCAATTTGAAATTTTCTGATTTTGTAAAATTGTTTTGAACTTTCGATTTCCAATTTTTTTTAGTTGTTTTGAGTTGGAATCAAAAGTATAGATTTAATTTCCGAATTGTTCTGAACCCCAAAAAGTATATTTTATAATATATTATTTCATATTTATATGATATATTTTAAATATAATTTACAAAAGGGATTATATTTTTTTCCAAAAAGAAATGAAATCTGATAATTTACAGAAATATAGATACAGCATACTTTCCGAAATCTTAAAAACTGCGAAGGGAAAAAACAAAGTTGTAATGAATATGCTACATCGTTGACGATCATTGCCAAGAAGCATCACAGGAAATAGAAAACCTTCAACTCAAATTGCTAATTATCATAGAATTCGGAATAAGCGGCTCTCAGTACATGTAATAATACAAAGAACACACGCAGATGCGTTCATCGCAGTATATATATATTATCGACATTCTACCTTGTATTCTCCCATCTGACTGTGGGATAACATGCTGTATCAAGAACAAGCAAAAAGTGACCTAAACTTGTGTTAAGAGAAATAATTATGAAAGAAAAACACAAAAAAAAAAGAAAAAAACCTAGAACTACAGCGAAAAAGAAATCAAAATAGAGGAAAAAGCAGAGGAAAGATCATCCCAAGAGTAAAATATCCAAAGGGTCGATCCAACTGTACGACGACAATTGTCAACTCTGCTTAGACCACATCCCATCATTTTCTGATTTCGAAGGCTTTTATGGCTCTCTTTTCTTTCATAGAACATAGTTTTACTCTATAGTCGTGCGAATAAAACTTCATTCCATGTATCAGGAATGCCAGGTAAGCACCAATGCAAGCAATCCTGCATACCAGGTGTAGCTTTAATGCTGTAACGAGATATATGGCCCTCGTCTCTCAACTGAGACAAAGCCGTAATATCTAGCAATTCAACGCTAGTTCCACTCACCGCCCCTGCGGTAAGAGGGTCACTAGAATCATCTTCCACAACCTCCTTCCCACCGGAAAGAGGGGTGGTGTTGTCACAAGTGCCGCCAGTGTTCCAATCTCCGTTGAAAAAATGCCTAGGTGACATAGTGCGTAAAAACGCTTTAAGACCTGGATATAACGGTAGCTGCTCATTCACCCATTTGGCTATACTATGAACTGTTAAATTCCTCGCACCAAATATATCTGCAATTTTTCGATTAGTATTAGGAACACCGTTAACATACATGACCCAACGATTGGCCTGAAGCTTCCCCCTATTCCAATGGTGGCCTGTGTTCAAAACAAGAACATTGAATCTGGGAAGGAATGTACGTAGAAATGCTGGGGGTCGGTCCAGATGCATGGCGAAATCAGTGGTTTTAGGGTTGGATGGATCAATGGGTTCTAAATCACAGAGACTTGCAGACCAGTAGTAGAGGATGGTGGTGTTGGTAATAGGGAAACGGTAAGCCCATCCATCTGGCCTTACTGCACCACGAGCTTTGACAAGGCCATACTCGTACCCTACATCGAGTACATCGTGTCTTTCTTCGCCACCTGTCACCATGCACATGAGAGATTGGAACTGCTGTCTGCCGAGGGAATCGCCGATAAATGCCAAAGTTTTGTCTTTCATTCTGCATGCAACAGATTGCAAAAAATATTAAATGCCGAAAACGAAAAAGGAAAGGGGAATCGGTTACTTATTGAAACTTTATCATTCTTATGCTATGATAATGAGAATAGTTAGGAAGTTGATTAGTTCCACGGCCAAAACATCCGACACTTTCTGGTTAAATAGAGGATCATAATATGAGAAATTCTATATGCCAATGTAAGCTTTTGATTGATTAAATGACCTAGATAGCAATAAAAGAGCCAAACAATGATAAACTCTAACGCAAACTCAAGAAATTTCAAGTTCCGGCAAAGAAATGAGTTTGTAAGAAATTCAGATGTACCTCCGCAGGAAATTGGCGCCTGTAAAGGCGTCCATTTTACAGTCTTTGGGCTGCCAACGTAGTTTTTCATATTCAAAATCAGTGCGCTGTGTCAGACGGCAAGCCCACATAGATGACAACCATTGCTTACAACCAAAGCCAGAATATAATGGCAGGCTCTCGTCAATTACCCATTTACCTTTGGCATAATTACAATCTGAAATATGTAAGAGGGTTCGGCAATATGGTAAATCTAGGTCATTCAAGAGGGTTAGGCAATATGGTAAATCTAGGTCGTCATATGAAATGACACTGGAGCACGTGAAATCTACAGCTCAAACAAAGAAGGAAACTAAAGAAGAGAGGGGAGCACCACATAAATGGAAACCAAAATCATATGAAATTTGTTTTATTTTGTTATAACTACTCAAGTTAATTAGATATTTTGTTTCATATATAACTCAAATTTGCAAGATGAGAAACACTTTAAGGTTATATATTTCTTACATGTGGAAATATCCCATTCAAGTTGGCACAGCTATTACAGACACCTTGTTCTAGTACTTTATAGGAAATACAGAATAGGCAAGCCTGGATTTGTTTCGTTTTACTTTTTTTTTTTTTTTTTTTTTTTTTTGCATGTACCTTTATTTCCAGTAGCAGCTGACAAGTTTCTTGTTTGCTCTTTTATGACCTCTGGCACAAACTCTGCTTTTTCAGATTTATTTTGTCCTCGAGAAAGTTCCTGCGATCCCAATCTTTCTACAGTACTAGGAGTTTCTGCACCAACACAAGATGTATTAAAAATCAAAGTCCAAAAAAATCAGATCTATTGAAGCACAAATGCAGAATAAACAACTCTGAGAAAACATATAGTTTTTGACCTTTGTTTCCAGTAGTATCCGACAAGTTTCCTCTTTGCTCTCTTTTGATAGGTGATTCTACAGTTGAAGAGCTTTCTGGCACAATCTCTGTTTGTTTTGATCTATTTTTTCCTTCAGAAAATTCATCTGATCCTGTTCTTTCTATAACACTACTTGGAGTTTCTGCACCAACAAAGCATATATTAACAAGGGGATCAATAAGAAGTATTATGATGTTAATTACTATAATAAGTTATATTTTTTTGAAAGATTATATCCCACCTTCCTTGTGGGTAGTTGTCACATTTTCAATATTTCCTCTATCGACTGCAAGCGGTGTCTCTGAAGAACCGGGTGAATTAACTTGCTTCTTCTGTGTTTGCGTTGAGTTACTATCCCCATCTAATAGCTCTTTTGGACCTGCTTCATCTGTAAAGCTCAGAGAAATACAGAACAAATAAAATCAGGTACTTCTGATGGTAGGTAGCATCATGGAAACAACATCATTAGAAATAAAGAAAAAAGAAGCATCTCAGAATCTTTGTGATTCTTCTACCATCCTAGCATGAACAAAATTGGAAAAATAAGGAGCAGAATACATAACCATTCAAAAACAGTGAAGCATAATATACTCACTGCTCATTGTCTGAGATTATAGATCCTTCTAAAATTTTAGGTAATTCATCATCTTTGGTAGCATACAAGCTACAGAAAAAAGAATCCTAGAATTGAAGGAGAAAAGGGAGGATGTCATTTGGAGGTAGTTCAAACTAAAATAGATGAAAAAATCAACTACTCCTCTTCTCAGTTTTGATTACTAAGACAACAGATCTTTGGCATTTTTGCATGGCAGCTCGTAACCTGATTCAGTGCAAATGAGCTGAGTATAACAGCCGTATGTCGAAAGCTGTCAAATAAGACCCTCACATTTATAACTAGGAAAATTCCATACTCTATACTGGCTCGATGACTAGCAGAAAACATCAACTACGGCACAAAATAGAGAGAGTGCAGAGGCAAACCTAGATCCAGTTGCAAGGAACGGCCCTGAGTCGGGATGAAAGGTGTCAGCAATGTGGTCTTTGTCCATGCCAATATAAGCACAGTCACACAAACTAATCCGACTAGGATGAAGGAGACCTGTGAAACCTTTAACCCTTGAATGCCTCCTTTCATCCTTAACGACACTAAGTGAAGAGATTCAGAATCATCCAAATATTAGAATTGCATATCACTGGAATAATATCTGCAAATCAAATAAATCAACATAATTAATTCACATTACCGACTCTTCGAAGTTCCATCAGCAATGTCCCCAAACTTCAAGGTCTCAAATTTCAGTACATAAATTTATCGCAAACATGTACATTATATAAATAGGACTCACACACGCATTATGATAACTAGTTTTAAGTAAGAATTACGTGTGGGAATGAGAAGATTCATTACAAACAAATGACAGGGAAAAATCATGCTATGCCGATGACAGGAAACGAAATCATGCTAATTGCTAGGTCAATGTCCTCAACCTTCTCATGTTCATTACTGCATGCTGACTGCCTTCGAGCCATATAATTTGACAGTTGTAGCTAAAATTTTGGTCGACATTCCTAATCGTCTTCCAGTATTAATTATAATAATTACAAAAGCAAATTACTTGCGGACCTATCAATGTCGATTTCCATTAAACTGCCCCATCACTGAAATACTCCTCACAGTAATTATGCTACTATTCAAAATTATAATAGCGTGACTGGTGTATTCGAAATTTCATATTCACAAAATTGAAAATATTTAGGTATCACGCTTGTCAGCTCATCTGAATTTCAAGATATCGAAAATGAAGAACTAAATTAGTTTACATGCTTAATCACATAATTCTGAAGAAAACTAGCGAAATAAACCGCGTTAATTTCAGAAAGCGGTAGAGATATACACATTGCTAAACTCGGATCAATCAAAATCAAAGGCAAATTAAACATTTGAACATAACCAAAACTCCGAATACTGTGACGACATCTTACCGGAAATGCAAAACCTCCACAGATCTTGGATCTCTCAGAAACCACACGAAATCCTTTCGTTCCCAAAAATCGTCGAGTTTACTCTAACTCTCGACTCCAATTGTAATGTTCGCTCGTGTGTGTGTGTGTGTGAGAGAGAGAGAAATTAAATAGAAATCGGTGCAGTTGTGCGTGTTAAAATAACGGCCGCAGTACAGCTGGAGAGAGGCGGGGGAGAGAGGGTGGCTGTACGGCGGAGATGACGGTGACAGGGGGAGGAGAAAAGCAAAGAGAGAAAAAGAAAAATAAAATAAAAATAAATAAGTGAGTTAATTAATCCGTGGTCAATGGTGATTAATTCTTAATTAGTTCGGGGAATAAACATTCTCATTCTTTACTTAGATATTTCCTTTATTTGACTTTCCTTGCCTTTATTTATTTATGATTAAAGAGTCGTCATCCAACACGAAAACAATTTATAATTGAAGAGTCGTGGAAACACTACTATTTAATCATGAGAAAAACCCTTTTTGGTTTTAATATATCTCTTTCTTTCATATAGAAAAAAATTTATTCATTTTTTAACCTGATTTTTAATTCAACCAAAAAACCTGATTTTTAATTACTCGTAATTTCAAATTTCGTAAGAGTTTCACAAATTGGCAAATGCATCGCGATTTTTAAATTCACAAAAAAAAAATTATAAATATGGACTAGTTAGATATGGGCTTAGTGGATTCTAAAATTGGAATTGATGGGCCTAGCCCAAACAATATAAGCTGAGTTCAATTTCAATAATAAGTGGGAACCCAATTCCACAAGTTTCTACTATATTTGGGCCCAATTAAGTTAATAAAACTCAATTAAGGGCCCAATATACGACTCGTGATTAGTGGAAAAATACGAGTACAAAAATATTTGTTCATGAAATGAAATACGGGTAAATTACGGCGACCCCTGATGAGGTGAAGTTAAATTACGAAAAAAATCTCATGTGTTTGGTTAATTACAACCACCACTCAACTATGAATATTCTTACGCATTCATCCTTGTGGTGTCAAATTTAGTGGACTTTGCTAAATTATGTGTAATGTTCACCGCCATTTTACCTTATTCCAGCTCCACATTTTGAAACGATATAATCATAGGATTTGTCTATTGACTTATAAATATCAAATTATGTTGCACAAAATAAGTATAAACTAGAAAATATTTCACAAAATTTACAAAATTAGGTTGAATTTAGCCCCATAAGAGTGGGGCGTGTAAGAAAGATTCATAATTGAGAGTTGTAATCATAAAATAAATAGTAGATGAATATTTATAATATATTTAAAGGAGCAATATCTATAATAGTTCTTGTTATTTTCTTCTCTTCCATTTTTTTTTTATTTTTAAATCCCTATTAAGCATCCGGCATGAACCACGCCCATCAATCAATTTTTAAATTGGATTTTCAATTCTGAAAGAATATAATTTTATTTTTTTTTTTTTTTTTTGAGAGAGAGAGAATCTCTCTTCAGGAAGCATACTTGATTACAGAAAGTGGCGCAGATTATGCTATGCCGCATCAGTGCTCTCTGAAAACCTAACGCGTTTCCCATAAGCTATCTTTCCAGTAAAGATAACACTCTCAAATTTTCGTTTGCTTTCCTAAATCCGTCTTGTTGATTAATTAATTATCATTTAATCTCAGACACTTCAATTTTGAACAAGGAGAAGATAGCTAGCTAGCCATGGCGAATGAGGTAGAACAAGTTAATTCCTTGCAGTCCATATGCTACACACGCGGATCGCTCAAGTTGCTCGATCAGGTTAGGTTTCTCTCTCTCTCTCTCTCTCTCTCTCTCTCTCTCTCTCTCTCTGTTAAATAATATACGATGATTGTAACTGCCGGTGAAGTAAGATAGGATTTATACCTCTTTAACTTCTTCTATTTAATTTTGATTTTTTGATATATGTGGAAGTTTTTGATTTCGTGTGTTCTCACTTATGTTTCTGTGAGCAGAGAAAGCTTCCGCTCGAGACTATTTATTTGGATATTGCAGATTCCAAAGACGGATGGTGAATAGTTCTTACTCTAATTATTTCAATTTTTTTTTTTTTTTTTTTGGTTCGATTCCAGGAATTTGATGTTGTGGCGCTTATTGATTCTAATGATAAATGATTGTAATTACGTCGATTCAATTGTAAGCCTGAAAAATAATTATCTCCCTTATTAATGTGTTTTTGTTAGGGTTGCGATAAAGGATATGGTCGTTCGTGGGGCACCGGCAATTGCCATAGCTGCCGCACTCTCCTTGGCTGTAGAGGTTTCTAATTTAGGGGCTTTTAGTGGGATGCCTAAAGATGCCGCGTCTTTCCTTAGCGATAAATTGGATTATCTTGTCTCGAGGTGATTTTGCTGTACAAAAATCTCTGACATTTTTTTCTTAATGTATTTCTGTTGCAATTTGGACTCAGCAAAGTCATGCTCCCGTGCAGCCGTCCAACAGCTGTCAATCTTTCAGATGCTGCAACGAAACTTAAGGAAGTCGTACACAAAGCTGCAGCCGCTTCTTCCGAAGCACAGAATGTCTTTCAGGTGTCACACCATTGTACTTTGTATAGATACAAAAACTTCCTTCCAACTGCATTGTGTTCATATTTACATGTAGATAGCTGGCGAATCTGAATATATGTAGCTAATTTTATATTGTATAGGCTTATGTTGAAGCTGCCGAAGTGATGCTTGAAGATGATGTTGCTTCGAATAAGGCGATTGGACACTATGGAGCTAGTTTCCTTCAGAAGCAGCAGTCTGATCCGAAGAATATTTCTGTTTTGACTCATTGCAACACCGGCAGGTACCTTGTTTGTTGACTTGTCATTATTATCATGCTGTAGAAGTGAATACATCATGATCATCGTTAAACAGATTGACCCACATGGAGTTCTTTTACTTTAACTTTTGCCTTATTGCGTAACAGTCTAGCAACAGCTGGATATGGAACTGCTCTTGGTGTGATTCGTGCTCTTCATGAGAAAGGAGTGCTGGAAAGAGCTTACTGTACTGAAACGCGTCCATTCAATCAAGTGAGTGTTGCAATTGTTCCGAGTTTTTTCACATCATAAAAGGTGTGCACTCATCGTTGTTATCATTAAGTTATCCCATATCCAAAAAAATACTGAAAAGAATATCAAAATATTTTTTCCGGTTTTTGGGGAAGTTAAAAATTGTTTGTGGATTACAAATTCAGCATCCTTAAATTCGACTGGGTACTGGCCTGATAATTTATGCTTGTTCGTAATATGGTGGTTTGGACGTCTATGTAAGCCTGCCCTAAAGTCTAAACCAGGGTTACATTATTGATTGACGAGTTGTTAGAATTTGTTAGGTACTACTAAGGAGAGTATTTTTAGTTAGATACTGCTCCAAAATTTCCTGATTCTCCTCTTCATTAACTAATCTCATCGTCACAACAGCATTTGCATGTAAAATGAAATCGTGATGCACCCTTGTGTTGTTGTCAGCCTGTATTTATCAATTTGTCTAGGAAATAAGTGTTGACTTCGATTATGATCTTCTAATTCATATTCTCTTTGACCAACCTCAGGGTTCAAGGCTCACAGCATTTGAGTTGGTGCATGAAAACATTCCTGCCACTCTAATTGCTGATTCTGCTGCTGCAGCGTTAATGAAAGCTGGGCAAGTGAAGGCTGTCATTGTTGGGGCTGATCGCGTGGCAGCTAATGGTATTTGAATGCATCTAAAATCGGCATTTTAGTTTCTGTGCTTTCCCAATGCTGAATTATTTCTTCTACTTTTCAATGATTTAATAGGTGATACTGCCAATAAGATAGGAACCTACAGCCTTGCCATTTCAGCGATGCATCACGGTATCCCGTTTTATGTGGCTGCACCACTCACTTCCATTGATCTGTCCCTTTCTTCTGGGGAAGAAATTGTTATAGAAGAGAGATCTGCAAAAGAGCTACTGCATGCTCGTGGAGGACTGGGGGAACAAGTCGCTGCTTCTGGAATTTCTGTTTGGAATCCTGCCTTCGACGTTACACCAGCTACTGTCATCAGTGGTATTATTACAGAAAAGGTATCTCTCTCTCTCTCACACACATACACACTCACACACACGAGCGCGCGCGCGCACACACACACTAAACCTTCTGATAATGCTTGCACATAATCAGGGTGTCATCACAAAAGATGGGGCAGATTCTTTCGACATCAAAAGTTTCGCAGAAAAGGTATCAAGCAATCATTGATGAAGAAGCACATGGTCCAACTAAGATTGGTGTTGAGAGGCATTAAAATTATTGAAGCCAGATGCACCATGTTACATATTTAATTTATGATGGTACCGTTTGTTAAAAAATGGGAATAAAATTCTACTGTTTTACGAATGTATTTCGTCGAATTAGTGCAGTAAAAACTGATGAGCCCTACATATTTAATTTATGATGGTACCGTTTGTTAAAAAATGGGAATAAAATTCTACTGTTTTACGAATGTATTTCATTGAATTAGTGCAGTAAAAACTGATGATCTCTCCTATAGCTTCATATGAAAGTGGCTGTTTTGTAGGAAGAAAACTTTCGTTGAAAATCTGCAAATTCAGATAGAGATAAATTTGTGTATTTTTTTGGGGGTAACATCGTACTATGCAAAGAGAAAGCAACCACGCCGAAATTTTGAAGAGATTTTGCATCCCACAAGACTTGACAACATATCAGCGGAATAGAAGTGCTAATAAACTAGTTAAATAATTTTGCATCATTCCAAGTACTGTTCAAAGCAATAACGTAACCAATTGTATATCCAAAGAGAAATTTAAACTTTAAAACGAAACATAAAACATAATCTGCAAAATCAACTTTTCCAGGCCATCCCGCATCTTCACAAGCACTTCACTTCAAGCCCTCTGCATCCATGCTTCATTAACGATACTGCAAAATACAGAGCAACGAATAATTTCAGCTAATGCATATAATTCGCACACTCGGAAATTGTGTTAATTTCAGCTAATGCATATAATTCGCACACTCGGAAATTGTGTTACGTAGATTGAAATGCCATCATTTGTTCTCAAGTAAAATAATTTCACTACAATTTTTTCAAGACCCAGCTAATCTGCCCTCTAACGGAATCATATCCTCGTGAAAAATATATAAACGCGACAATGTGGAACAAAATCATAACAAAGTACCCGATTTTCCATTACAGCGTAAATTTCCTCCTTGCTTGTCGAATTAACAATCTTTTTAGACTAATTTATTTCCCATCAAACCACTAATTTATGAAGTTTAAGAAACGAGAACTCCATCCAAGAGTACAAACTATACGTTCAAGATCATATCATATCAAACTAAAGCCCGAATTCAGAAGCAAACAGACAACATTCATTACATTAGAACAGACACCCGAGAAAAAAATACAGAAGGGGTCAATTTCACACTAATTATTTGTTGGGGACCAAAAAAAAATAAGAAAAAAAGGGAGGACCTTGATGAAGCCAATTTCCTTGGAGTTGCTGCGGAAGCACTGCCTGCAGCACATCAGACCATACTTGCGAATCAACCCATGGGGGTTTCCACACACGCGGCTGCACCAACACACAAATTCACACAAGATCTTACCCAATTTAGAAGAATAAACGCTTTGGAAATCTTTCAATTGAAAAATTAAAATAAAAAAAAAAAAAAAAATTACAAATTTCGACTGACCAAGTGCGTGAGCCGGGACCGTAGGTCTTGGGGTGCGAGTTCCAGATGTTCGCGTGACCCATTTTCGCCTCTCACTGTGTATTTCTCAGAGCCCGTATGTATATTCGGAATCGATTCTCAAAGAGGCGCCGCTGTATTGTATGAAAGAAACCCTAATTGCTCAACTCACACCTCTATAAATTTGCTGCGTTAAAAAAAATAATAAATAATAAATAAATAAAGGTTATTTAACTGTCTTTTATGCAATTTGTCCATTAAACCCTCAAGTATGTATTTTGTCCCACTTTAGTCCTTCATTTTTTTATTTTTTTTTAGAAAGGTCCTTCATTTTTTAAATGAGCCAAATTTACCCTGAGCCGGTTTGTAAATACGACGGGCCGACTCGTCAAAAGCACGATCTCGAGCCCAATTATAATTGTTTGACATCTTGCGGATCAGCTCATGAGCTTTTTATCAATTTTTTATTTTTTAAATATATTATACAACAATAATAATAATAATAATTATTATTGTTATCATCATTATTATTAGTCAAGCTCGAGCCAGAAAATCTCAACTCGTCGATTTCAAGCTCGAGTACAAATAGTCGAACCCGACCTCGAACCTTCCAAACAGGCGAGCTCGGCTCGTTCACACACCTAGATAATAGAATTTCCTTTTAATAAAATTATTCCTTGAATAAAAAAAAATTAAAAAGATTGAATTTTTTTCATAAAAATGGAGCAACAATCCACGTCGGCCCATCAAAAAGTTTGGTTTAGGTTGCAATATATAAGGACTAAGTCAGAATAATCCACGTGGCCCATCAAAAAAGCTTTCCCAAAAAGCACAAACTTCTGCAGTAAGGAAGCACATGTCGGCTTAACATGCCACGTAAGCAGCTTAAAGTTTCCAAAAGTCTCCATCCCGCGTTTACGCGCTCTTTCTTCTCTCTCCCAACAGTAACTGTACACGTTCTTCTTTTTTTATTTATTTTTTCTTTTTCTTTTTCTTTTTTATTTATTTATATATATTATAAAGACGTTATTTTCGAATGTAGAATTTGTCGTTTGGCTGAACTTTCTGCAAATCCCCACACTCTCTGGTACACCCACTAAAACCCCCTTTCCCCTTTTTATCCTTTTCTTAACGTTGAAAATTTCATGTCGTTTCTTGCTTTCTCTTTCATGATTTTAGCTCTGACAATCCTCGCATATTATTGAATAATCTACACTGCATTTAGGTTTTTTTTTTTATTTACCTTGTTCAATTCATTTGGGGATTTCTTAATTAAAGCCCTAAACTTTCTGATTTCACCCTAATCATTGCGATTCGTGATCTTCTTTTCTTTCGAAATTTGACCATCTGATTTTCGTGTTCAGCAATCGCTGTCTGTGTGTATGTATTATCAAGCTGATTGATTGTAGTAGGAGTTGAAAATGGGGATTTTAGGTCGTAATCTTTCGAAATTTCGCGGAAGTTTCAATGGAGTCTCCTTTTTGGTTTTGCTTTTCTTTTTCGCCTCTAAAGAAGGGATGCTTCAGAACCCCTTCTCAAATAATCCCATCCCAAACTCCATTTTTCGCCGGAAAATTTATGAAAATAGTGTTAATTTATCCAGCGAAAATGTAGATTTACCGTCCAATAGAAACCCAACAATTTGCACAGAGATTCATCAACACGAGGGTTACGATACCAAATGCGATTACCTGAGAGCCAACCCTGATTGCAATTCAGGGGGATTTTTCAATTACATGGTGTTCTTCTACTGTGACTGCAATAAATTTGAGCCCGTAGCTTACGTTGCTCTTGCAATTTGGCTGCTGACTCTGTTCTATTTACTGGGCAATACCGCAGCAGATTACTTTTGTTGTTCTCTTGAAAAGCTTTCCAGTTTGTTGAAGTTGCCCCCCACAGTTGCGGGGGTCACTCTGCTTCCGTTGGGAAACGGGGCGCCCGACGTATTTGCTAGTATCGCTGCCTTTGCAGGCACGAATTCCGGTGATGTGGGCCTTAACAGTGTTTTAGGTGGGGCTGTTTTCGTTACTTGTATAGTTGTGGGAGCTGTTTCTTTATCTGTAGCTGATAAAAATGTACAGATTGACAAGAAGTGTTTCATAAGGGATGTGGGTTTTTTCCTCATCACAATTTTATCTCTTCTGATTATCTTGGTTGTTGGTGAAGTGAGTGTTGGAGGTGCTATTGCCTTTGTTTCGATATATGTTGTCTACACCTTGTTTGTTGCTGGAAACGAGATACTGAGAAAGCATGGCCGGACGTTGAAGTTGGACTACGTAATGCCCTTATTACCAGTCCGAGGAAGTTTGTCTTCCGGTGAGGATGACTTCGAATACGCTCCGTTGATTCATTCAGATTCCATGGATTGCGTGCCGCATCTCCAAGAAAAGCTGCCCCATTGGATGTGGGCTTCACATGTGGCAATCTATTCCAACGAGGCGGATGAAAGTTCGAAATATTTGTGGGGTTGGAACGACGAGGATGCATCCACCGACCAATCATATTGCTCCTTTTCAAGAATATGCTCATTGCTGGAGATACCATTAGCAATCCCTCGGAGGCTAACAATTCCAATTATCGAGGAGGAGAGGTGGTCGAAGGCGTACGCAGTTGCTAGTGCTTTCTTCGCACCCGTTTTATTAAGCTTCCTTTGGAGTAGTGAAGATAGTGGTGGCCTTATGGACAAAAAGATCGTTTATCTTATTGGTTTCCTAGTTGGCGGTCTATTGGGGCTCGGTGCACTCACGTACACCAGATCTGACACCCCCCTAGGAGATTCTTGCTTATATGGTTTTGGGAGGATTCTTGATGAGCATTGTTTGGTTCTATATAGTGGCGACCGAACTCGTTGCTTTGATGGTGGCGTTTGGTGTTATACTCAAAATCAAGCCCGCGCTTCTTGCGTTGACTATAATGGCATGGGGGAATTCTATGGGGGATCTGATGTCGAACGTTGCTATAGCAATGAATGGTGGAGATGATGGCGTGCAGATTGCTATGTCGGGGTGCTACGCGGGGCCCATGTTCAATACCTTGATTGGTTTGGGTGTCTCTTTGCTGATTGGAGCTTGGTCCAGTAGACCAGCGCCTTACGCTGTTCCACTTGATCGCAGCTTGTATTGGACTCTCGGGTTTTTGATGCTGGGCCTCGTCTGGGCTCTTGTTGTGTTGCCGAGAAACGGTATGCGCCCCGGTAAGGTGTTGGGGGTGGGCTTAATGGTCATTTACTTGGGGTTTCTTGGTCTAAGGGTGAGTTTCGCTATGGGGGGTAGTTCGCTCGATGATTCGAGTTAGTCGACTGTTTTGCGTGGGGGTGAGTTTAATTTTGTGACTTAGTGATATTAGATTTACGTATAGATTTAGATGGATTGGAACGTTCTTGTTCTGATGTTTGGGAAAAAAAAAAGTAAAAATTTGGTGAAATAACTTTTGTAGCTGATTTATGAAGGCAGCATTGTAACATGTCTGATAATATAATCATATGTTCAAAAGATATGTCATTAGAGTACATCTTCTGTTGCTGTGAGTTTATGTATTCCAATATGTGTAGGTGTGTGGATGTGTCTGTAAATTATATGTATCTTATTTGACAGAAATTCTCTGTCTTTTAATTTCTAAATATTAATTAATAGTTATGGCTCAAAATTTTGATTCAATAATTATGTATCTGTTGCAATTAATCATAATAAAATAATAAATATTGCATGAATTTGGGAATTAAAAAAACAGCCCAATAAGAAGTTGGTTTAAAATCAAAACCATATCCCAATAGCCATTGCCAGCCTGAGGTTTCTTAGCCCATATTGCTGTTGGACTATTGGATCGGGTCAAGCCCACTTCGATCTGAATTTGGTTAGGCCCGTATTAGAAAATTCTCTTATTTAATAAAATGAATAATTTTCTATATTTAGAATTTTGTTGTATTTTATTACCCATGTAACAAATAGTACATCTTAACCCCACTGTCACAAATTAACGTTGTAACTTTATAGTAACATTTTAGTTTTATACATATTTAATAGTATAACAGTTTATCATTATTAAATCACTGTAGGAAGTAGGGCATAACAAACAGGACTATTTGCCCATTTTGCCGTAGTCCATACCTTGTGCTATTATTATACGTCATGGTCACTGGTTTCAGGTAATTGCTTTTCGGTTAAATTGCGGTCAACTTCTGAAATAAAGTCAAATTACGAAACATTCTCTTTTATTTTGGTACTTCAATCACTTCCTTCAACTATGAATCTTGTTACATGTCCGCTCTTTCAGTGTTAGATTTAGTGTAATATTCTTCAGTTTGTATCCGTTTTAGCACATTCGAGCTCCACATTTTGGAACAAGATAATCACAAGATGTGTCGCTTAAACGTAGCTCGTGGTGCATCAAAAACTGCTTTTTTGAACAAAACGAGTACAAACTGCAGAACATTTCACGTATTCTAGAATATTTTTGTTGAATTTGACACCGTAAGAGTGGACGTGTAAGAAAATTTATAGTTGAATGAATAATTGTATATAATAAATCCAAACAAAAGAGGGTTTTTTTCGTAATATGATCTTACCTCAGGGGTGACCGTAATTCACCCTTTGTTTTTTAACATTTTACCTCTTTCTCACACACACACGCACTACATCAATACATACAACATTTTTACCTCTTAAATTGAGAAAATACTATATTCAAACCAAATTCACGTATAAATCAAATATAATATTGTTTTTACTAAAATTGCAGATCAAACTAAAGATCATCAAACAAGTTGAATTAAAAAATTAAAAAAACATGTATAATAAAATAAAAATGGCAGAGAGATTTGAAAAAATAGGAAAAAAATGGATCTGTTAAACAAAGAACAGAGATTCCTTTTTATTCACCCAACAAATAAGGGTTTTAGTTATCAGAGTATGACGTAAGCAAAACCATGAATGAATGAATTATCTCTCTAAAATTACCCAATACTGTAAAAACTAGGATCAGAAGTACACTTCCACACCACACTCAATTTTTACAAAACCTTTGAGTTTGCCCTTCTCTCTCTCTCTACTTTCTCTCTCCTCTCTTCCTCCTTCCTTCCATCATATATTTTCATATATACACACAATTAATCCACACACACACACACACACACAGAGCCAGTCACGTGTGCTCTGCGGTACGGCGTCGTGCTGCTCGCCCCCCCTACCCCCCACCCCTGCCACACCTCTGCAAACACCATCGAAACACAACACATTTTTTTTACCACACACAGAAAACACACTCAAGTGCGTGAAAAGAAAGTGACAGAGAGAGAGGAGCTCTTACTTTAACGTAGTAGTAGTAGCATTTGTTTCTACCACCGCAGCCCTCACCCCACTCACTTATTTACAATAATGCCCCTCTCCTTTGCAGCCTTTTTCACTATTTTACCATCCTGCCATCATTCTTTAAACACCCAAAAAAAAAAAAAGAACAGTCTTTTTTTCCTACACACTCTTCCATTATATAGCCCACTTTTTACTCTCTCTCTCTCTCTCTCTCTCTCGAATTATATTTTCTCGGATTAAAAATAAAAATTGAATCTTTTTCAATTTACTTGTTTTATTTTTTTTATTTACATTAAATTACTGCAACTGCAGACAAGTGTGGGATGAAATAAATGAATCATTTAATCAGTAGTGATGCAGTGCAGGCATTTATTTTACTAGCTCTATATAGTACATAGAGCATGATATTTGTTGTGCATGTATGTATGTATGTATCATGTATGTATGTATAGTTTTGCAATTTGCAAAGCAATAGTAACTGTGCTCAGCTTTGTTGTGTCAATTGAGGCTCTCTGGTGATAGTTGTTGTGTGACAGAACTTTTCGGGGGCCTGGACCCCCCTGGGTAATTATCCCAATGGTCAGAAACTCAGTAATTATTTCCTCTGTCTTTATTTTCTTTTTTTTCTTGTATTAATAAAACTTTTCGTTTTCCCATTCCCACCACACCTAACAGCATTTCCCCCTCTCTCTCTCCCTCTCTCTCTCTCTCTCTGCCCCCATTTCACCCCCTCTCCATTTCTCTCTCTCTCTCTCTATAATATCAGCAGACCAAAAAAAGAAATGGAATTTAGGCTAATTTGGGCTCACCTTTTGCTCTGTTCTTGAAGTTTTCTTCCATTGATAAAATGTCTGGTTTGAAGGGAAATGGTTCGGTGCCATCACTTCCGCCGCCGCAGCCCAAGTCTCCGCCGGAATATCCCGATTTGTACGGCAAGCGGCGGGAGTTGGCCAAAGCCCAGATGCTAGAAAGAGAAATTGGTTTTCTTGAGGTCAGTTTTCTGGATATCTTCATTTTTTTTTATTTAATTATAAGTTCTTTACTTAAGGCCATTTATTTAATTAAAAAAAATTATATATTTTAAGAGCTTTTTTCGATTAAAGTGATTAGTAGAAATTTGGTTATGATTGGTGATTAATGATAATTTTAAGAATTAAATTATAAAATTAATTTGGGTTGGTAAAAGTTGAATGAGAGAGATGAGTTTAATAAATAGCACAGAGATTGTTTATTAGTTGGGAAACAAAATCCATGATACTTTTACAGGTGATGGTGCCATGCCTAACTGTCACCTGTTCTTGTACCCCCAATCTTGATTATTATTTTCTGCTACTTATTTTATTTATTTATTTAATATTTAATATTTAATTAATGTTGAAAAAAAATTTGGACCACTTCAATCAAGCTATTTTCATTTCAAATTATAATGGCTTACACTATAAACGGCTAATTCGAGGCTCGAGACGTTCTTGAACTCGACAACTTCGATGAGATTCAATTCAACGTTGTTAATGATTTATATATGGTTGCATTCGGATTCTTGAAACTCGTTGTGAATCAGAAAATGTGACAGTGTTAGTATATATACTATTGGTATGTTTACACACAATTCATGCCTGTGATCGGGATTGCATTAAAATTGAGAACAATCTTGTGGTAATTACGTAAAGAACATGATCTATGCACTTTTTCGTGCTCGAGTCGATTTCTTTTCTTACTAGGCTTGATTTCCGTTATCGGTGTTGTAATTGTTGATGTAATGGAGATTTTGTTGTGAGCAGGAAGAATTGAAATCTATTGAGGGGCTTCAGCTTGCTTCAAGATCATGTAAAGAGTACGTCGCACATTACTACTTTCTGTTTCGAGTATCCGTCGAAAAGAAACGCATCCAACCAAATAAGATATAGTTTTTTTTTTTTCGTTCCTCAAATTATGCCCAATCATTCTCGTAGCTTATTTACCAATATCTCGTAGTCGAAATGAATATTTCAACTTGGACAGGGTTGCGGATTTTGTGATGGCAAATGTCGATCCTCTCATTCCCACGTAAGAATACATTAAACTCTCTCTCTCTCTCTCTCTCTCTCTCTCTCTCTCTCTCTCTCTCTCTCTCTCTCTCTCTCTCTCTCTCTCTCTCTCTCATTTATCTTTTGCTAAAGCAGAAACAAGAAGATACGCAGATCACGCCGCTTCTGGAAATGGCTCTGGTACAAATCTCTAAACTCCATATCGAAAATCAGAAATTTACTTTGACTATTGTAATACGATAAAATACAATCATACGATTATTCGCCCTTTTCTATGCAGCGGGATATCATGTTTCACCGTTTCGTGGAGTTGCTGCTGTTGTTGTTGTAATTGCTCGTCACAGCTGGAGATTCCAAGATGCTGCAAATGCACTACCGATGTATGTAATTGTTGCAGCAAATTATGTGTCAAGTGCAGAATGCCTAAGTGCAACTGTTTTTCGAGTACCAAATGCTGCAGCGAGTCCAAATGCGGCCTGAATTGCGGCTGCTGCTGCTGCAAATTACCAAAATGCCCTTCTTGCACGTCTTGTTCTTGCTTTAGTTGTTGTACGTGTTATCCGAAGTGTCCTAAGTTGAATATACTTTCGTGTTGTCACAAAACCTGCTGCTACCCTTGCTACTTTTGTTACTAGTATCAAATGTGCTTGGATCGTTCATTTCCACGTGCCCTTTTATTTTATATATTTTTTACTTTTCTCGAATTTTCCGACGTTGTTCTTGTCACAAAGCTTGGCAAATCTTGCTTTCTTAAATATCCAGGGGTGGAAATTGGAACGAAATTTTCCGATTTCCGTTGGTTCTGATCCAATGTTTTTCAATTTGGAACAACATTTTTCAGATTGAATTCTGAAAATTTCGATTCTTCCATCTTTGTTAGTTGGAGTTTGGATATAGATTTTCCAATCCTTTGTTAGTTGGATTTGGATATAGATTTTCCAATCCGATAATAATTCTAGAAATTCCAAAATATTTTGAAAATTTTGCTGTTCGGATTCGAAAATTCCTGATTTTTTTACAATTTTTTTTCATTCTTATTTCTGATTTTTATTTTTTTTTAGAACGAAATTCAAATTAAGTGCATTTCCGAAACAAATCGGAATTTTTCGGTTCACATTTCCACCCTATGAATATCAAAGGAGAAGAATGCTAGCAGCGACGCCTAGTTCAACTACATTAACTTCACCAGAAACAAATAAACATTTAGAGCAACAAATTATCCTCTCTGCTAACTCTGATCCAATACTTCAATCCCTAAAATAGTCGACACCGAAAAAACCTCAGAGCTGTGTCCACGAGTATGCAACCGGGCTACTCACTCGGTGCAGCGCATTACTCCAAACAATCGAACCAAACCCATGCCTAACCACCGGACCCACTTCCTTCTTCCAAACAAACGTAACCCTAAACCTCCGTTTATCACCCACATTCTTGAAAACAAGCGTCGAAGGACTCACACTCACCTCAACATTCGGAGGGGCATCCACAGAAACCCGATAGGTCAACCCCGCGGGCCCCACATTGGTCAACTCCCTCGAGTACCTCACAACCCCAGTCTTCCGGAACATCACGGAGAAAGACGGGTAGTTGAGCTGGCCAGGATCGTGGAATCTTTTAGAGCAGGTAATGTTCGGGTGCTTGGCTACGATCTGCACCATCTCCTTTGTGTAGCCTAACGAGCATAGAAAGGAGACGTAATCCTCTGGAGTGGCGTCGTACACGAGCCCTGGTGATAGGGCCTTGTGGGGGTCCACGTGGCCGGCACCGTGGGCCCACGGTGTGGAGAGGGAGTAATCTGCCGCGTCGCGGAGAGGTGAGTTGGCGTTGTCGTGGGTGTAGGCTGTGGTCATCAGCGCCGATTTGATGGCGCTCGGGCTCCAGTTTGGATGAGCTGCCTTGAGCAGAGCTGCTAGCCCGCTTATGTGCGGGCATGACATTGATGTACCTACGATAATTTCATCGACACCGTTTGTACCGTGTAAGAAAGAGTTTCCCAATCAAATTCAAGAATCCCAATCATGGAAGAAAGAATTGATAAATATTATAGGAATAAACAAAAAGGACAGATTTATTTTTTTGTTTTTTGAAATATAGCCGTTATTCATGGGCCACATACCAGATATGATGTTGAACTGAGTCTTCCTGGTGTCGGTATCGAGTCCGGTGGGGCCCACGGCCTGTGACCAGGCGGCCAAGATATTCACACCGGGCCCGATAACGTCCGGCTTCAAGATCTGCGGCGTCACCATGTTCGGGCCCCTAGAGCTGAACGCCGCCACGACCGGCGACGGCTTCACGTTCACAACCGTCCCGGCGAAGCTCAGCGACGCCCTAGGGTTTCGGGCCGTCTTCACGTACCGCCTTATCTCGTCACCGATTTTCCTCCCCACGGCCACCGCCGGCAACAGGTGGCTGTCCGCCACCAGCTCCTCCCCGCTCTCGGCCGTGTTCGCCAGAATCATACCCACACCACCGGCATCCCTCACCACCATCCCTTTCTCCACCCTCGGACTGATCCCTCTGTCGCATAGAACCACCTTTCCACGCACGGCGGCGGAATCGAGAGAACCCGGCAGGCACAAATTGCCGGTAGTGTTGGCGTTTTTGCCGTACACCAATTCCACCGACTTCCTCCCCATACCTTTCCCACTGTACAGAGAAACCCCATTGTATTTCTCGCCATTACCTAAAGTAGAGAAAGCAGGGAAATCCCTATCGATTGTGCCGGCGCCGACAGTCATAATCCACGGCGCAACATTCGCCAACGATTCCTTAGTGGGCCCACTGTTCCCCGCCGAGCACGAAACGAAAATTCCCCTCTCCACCGCCGCAAAAGCTCCGATCGCAATCGTGTCGCGGAAGTACGGCGCAGATCCGCCGCCGAGAGACATGGACAAAACGTCTACGCCGTCGAGAATGGCGCGCTCCATTGCGGCGAGTATGTCGGACCCAAGGCAACCCGATTTCCAGCAAACTTTGTAAGTAGCCAATCGCGCGTGGGTCGCCATCCCACGCGCGTTTCCTCTGGCGTAGCCCAACAGGCTGGCGTTCTGGACTTGAGATCCGGCGGCGGTGCTCGCCGTGTGGGTCCCATGGCCGTCGTTGTCGCGGGGGGACTGTGCCTCCTTCGCTCCGGACACGATGTTGTGCCCTTTGGAGAAGAATCTGGCGCCTATTAGCTTCTTGTTGCAGTGGATTTTGGGGTTGAAATCTCCGGCCGCCTCGCACCGGCCGCGCCACCGCGTCGGCACATCCGGCATGCCGAAATCGGCGAACGACTTCGACTCCGGCCACACGCCGGTGTCCAAAACGCCGATTATCACGTCCTGAGATGCTTTATTGAGTTCCTGCAGGCTGTGCCCTGTCCACGGGCCGGGCTCGGTGTTGAGGCCCAAAAACTCCGGCGTGCGGGTGGTGTGGAGAGTGTAGACTGTGTCCTCGTAAACGCCGAGGACGGAATCTGACTGGCGAATGGAGTCGGCTTCCTCCGGGGTGAGGGCGGCGGCGAAGCCGCTGTACGCGGCGTCGTAGGTGTAGAGGAGGGAATCTGGGGCGGCGGAAGTGAGTGACTGGAGGTGGTCGGAGTACCACTCAGTGTGGGTGGCGTAGGATGCGGGCTTCTGGTTATGCTTCATGTGCACGATGTAAGTTTTCACGGCGGCGGCGGCGGTGGCGGAAACCAGGGGCAGCCATGAGTGAAGAAGAACAAAGGCAACTGCGCATAACCAGATCACCGGCCTGAACGCCATTGTTGCAGCAATGAAGATGGGATAGAGATATAATGTGTGTGTATATAAAAAAATTATATAATAATGTATATGTATAATGTGTGTGTGTGTGGTGTGTGTGTGTGAAAGTACGAGGGTGGAAGACAGTCGTCCCGGTGAGACTGTCAGAGGATAAAAGGGGAATGGGTGGTTATCGGGGTTATAAACGTGGAACACATAACTTACAAGGCCTACATTTCTGTTTATTTACGGTACTGCCATTGCCGAGTGCCGACTCACTGGGTTTTTAATGACTGACCAGGCCAGTAGCTGTAGAGGGTGGCCTATCATTATAGAGGTGGTTTTAATCCATTTATTACACTGTTTCTACTTTCTACACTAAATTTCAATTTTATCATTATGTTGATTTTAATGATCTAAAGAAAATAGACTAATACATCTTAATCACTTTGTAGTTTGTAATCATAACTTTAACTTCAATGAGAATTGTTTCCTTGTGTGTATCCTATGTCTATTATCTTAAGTGGCCGTTAAGTCAACGTAATTTATATTCATTAATCAAATATTTGCCGGTCTAGGAGATGAGGGCGAGTAATTTCGTATTTTGATGCTAGTTTTGGTACATTTACAAACAATACTTTTTCTTTCGTTTCTCATAAATAAATATTTACAGAAAGGTCCTCATGGTGATAACTGAGACCTATCTACTAGCCTTTAAAACCGAACAAGGGTTCTATAGAATGCTACATTTGAAGGAATACACGGGATGATCTTACATCATCGATCTAAACAAAATAACACACCCACGAGTATCTGTGTGTAGTAAATAGTTATTTATATTGATTTATGGTGTAAAATCACCCGATACTTTTCGTCATGTGTAGATGAATCTAGAACAAGGTAGTTATGAGTACCAAATTGTTTTGTATTGAATAGAATTTATTAAATGTGTCTATGAATAGCAAACATGTATTCGTCAACATAATTAAATTTCTAGTGCACATTTAACCAGCCAACTTCATAGCCTTGCCTCCCTATTAAATAAAGACAGCACATTTTGAGTGAATATGAGAGTTCTTTTTGTCAAGTGAAAAAAATAAAAAATATATAGCCTCGCCTCCCTATTAACAAAAATACAACTTAGATCCAAAGTTTGTCATCTTCATTACTATTGTTTAAGTTTTGTTGTTGTTGTACAAACAAAACTTAATATAAATAAATAATATTTAGGGTAAATTACAAACACCCCTTGAGGTATGGTCAAATTACGAAAACCCACTCTTGTTTGGATAACTACAATCACCCCTCAATTCCTCAAATTTAGTGTAATCTTCGAGATTATATGAAATATTATTACTTTTGTACCTGTTTTAACCCATTCGAACTCTACATTTTGAAGCAAGATGATCATAATATGTGTTTTTTGGCTTGTATATATTAGATTGTGATGCATCAGAATTGTATATTTACACAAAACGAGTGCAAACTAGAGCACATTCCACGAAATCTAGATGGTTATGTTGAATTTGACACCATAAGGGTGGAGGTGTAAGAAAAAATCATAGTTGAGGGATAGATGTAATTATCCAAACAAGAGAGATCTTTTTGTAAATTGACCATACCTCAGGTGTGTTTGGAACAAGGTTGTAAAAAGCGGTAATCGGGAACGAGTCGGTCAGGCACCGACTCACGATTAATCGGCGCGGCGGTGATTAATCGGTGATAAATCGGAAATAAATCGGTTTTTAAAATTTAATATAATATATTTGTAGATATTATTTATAAATACTCAAAACATAGATAAAAAATATTTAAACATAATTATATCTCCATCATGTATATATTCTAATAACATAATAAAAGTTTAATAATAATAAGATCATAATACATAAATATCCTTATAAAATATAAATAAAAAGATAATTTTTTTGAATTTACATACATTCTTGGCATACATCATTAGTTCTTTAACAATAATAATTAACATAAACAAAATAAAGCATAAACTCCTTTTTTTTTTATTAAAATCCCAACTTTTATTTTGATTTATAAAAAGAAAAAAAGAAAAAAAAAAAAGAAAAAAACCAATTTTTTTGCCGATTTTTGCCACCGAAGTTTGACCCGCCTTAAAGGTTTGACCGCCTCAGACCGCCTCACAGGCAAAAAAACCGATTTTTCAAACCTTTACACTAAAATCGTAAAGGTTTTGGACCGCCTCCGCCTCGGCGACCGATTAATCGGCCGCCTCGGTCGATTTTTAGAACACTGGTTTGGAATTTACCCTAATATTTATTCTCTAACACTAGATTCCCAGTATGATGCAACCCTTTATTTCATAATCATAAACCCAATCGCTAAATAATCTCATATTACATTAGCATAATAATTAATAGGGTAAATTACAAACACCCCCTGAGGTATGGTCAAATTACAAAAACCCCCTCTTGTTTGGATAATTACATCTACCCCCTCAACTGTGATTTTTTCTCACCTTTATGGTGCCAAATTCAACATAGTCATCTAGATTCCGTGAAATGTGCTCTAGTTTGTACTCTTTGTGTAAAAAATACAGTTTTCGATGCACCACAAACTGATATATACAAGCTAAAAATCACATATTATGGTCATCTTTCTTCATAATGTAGAGTTTGAATGGGATAAAACGGGTACAAAAGTGATAATATTCCATATAATCTCGAAGATTCCACTAAATTTTGATGAGTTGAGGGGGTGGTTGTAATTATCCAAACAAGAGGGGTGTTTTTGTAATTTGGTCATACCTCAGGGGGGTGTTTGTAATTTACCCTAATTAATAATATCCGACCTAATTAATTTTATTAATCTAATCAATATTATCAACGAGGTATATGCGGCCATGTATAATTCAATCTAAAGAGTACTTTATAATGTACATAAATTAAATCCTTAAATATAAAAAATAAAAATAATGTATATTAAAGCAAAATTATTTGTTTAATATGTAATGCATGAAATAATTCTTTGCTGCCTGCCAATATCATGCTCACAACAAATGGATTCAATTCAGCAGTTTACCCAAAATCATATAAAGCACAATTTATATCACAGTTTCTGCATCAACTAGCAATTTAGAGATGTCACAAATCATGCACAAGGACTCGAATATAATATGCAGGTCTTCAATTTGCTACAATTAAAACTAAAAGCGGTGAATCGAATTCCAATCTGTCCAACATAACCAAATACCACACTGTCGGAAACTCACAACTAGATTCCAGCCTTCTTACACAAAACGAGAATACCCGATTCCGATCCCAGCACTGACTTCTAATGACCATATTTCTGAAACTCCCACTCGCTGTTATCTGTAGAATTTCATTGATGTTAGATATATATATAAACATTATCAGTTGATATTCGAGATAATATAGACGAATCGCAGAGCACTTACCCAGAGGGCAAACTTGACGTGTCTTGAGCCATCTGCTAATGCAGTGGAAGTGGAAGGCGTGATTGCAAACACCTGTACACAATTCACAAACAATTTTATAAATTATAACCATCCTATCTGCTACCTATTACACTAGAACTCGTATTTTCTTTTCACCAATCCTTTACTGGTCTTGCAAAAACCAGTCATGAATCCAGGTCACACCAAAACAAGGAAGTTTCGAGAAGTGCTTATTCACTACAGATATGACAATTTGTATTGACAAGATATAAAATGGCAATATGAATTTTTTTACTATGTCCACATAATAAACAACAATTTTTGTTTCATGAACAATAATAAGTTTCTTAATTTTTGTTTAAGTTGCCAGTTTTCATAATAAGACACGAACATTGATTCTCAAGATCTTATCACACATCATTGCGATATACTTTTTTGTTAGTATAGATAAGTCACTAACATCACTATGACAAATCAAACACTGTATACATGTCGTCACAGCTTAAATATTAGTGCATTCCATTATTGAGATTCAGAGAGCAATCATTGTGGAAAAACAATGGTTATTGTAACTTAATATATAATGAAACATTGTACATTATTACTATTACTAGTTTTTCGTGCAAGTCATTATGCAATAAATGGCACCATTCAGTCTTAGGAGTCTATGAAAGCTTTGGCAACAACAAAAGTAGTTTTATTCAGTTTTCCAGTAATTGAAGTTCCATGATTCCAAATCTATCGAGGTGGACGATCTTTTAATGGCTACCTAAAATAAAGATCAAGAAATTTATATGCACTTTTCATGGACAATACAACGAGGATCTATTACCTATTCACATTAATGTATTTGATTGGCATGACATCTTTCTGCAGAATATATTCACCTAGGACATGTCCACCCCAATAACAAATTTAAAAAAACGAGAAACACCCAAACTTAAAAAGAGTAAGCTGACAATCTTGCTAATTGGATATCAATCTCTTTGACATGCATGTCATCATTTAAGAAAAAAAAAAGTATACATCACCTTTACGTTTATAGAACACTATAGTCACAAACAAGCATGTCAAAGAAAAACAAATCAATTTAAACATTTAGACAGACAAACAAAACGGACAAGTAATATTCTGCCTAATGCAAATTTATCAATAGTACTGTTATGAACAAATACTAAAATTCTAGATGAGGTAGTCACGTCTTAAGACAGATCAAAAACGTAGATCTAATAAAGCACATAGACGAGTTTATTGACTATTTAAACAAAAAAATAATCTACACGAGATACACATCCTCAGGACACCTGCAAATACACATATGATCCAACACATAACGATATAAGCAACGATCTAATCAAATAAAGCTACCAACACGGACAAGTCAGACGGAGCTGCATCAAAAGTTCATATAAATTGAATAATCAAATAATAAAACTAACCAACATCGACATTAAAGCTATATATACTATACTACAGCGAGAAGTAATAATCCTGCTTCGTTACCAACATATTCGATCACATTGCAACAAAGCCGTACGACATAATAGAATGAAACTTGGTGATAAAGCAGGGAAACATACCCCAGGCAACCGTACACTCTTCGCTTGTAGCACTGGCTTGATTAGCTTGACACTCAATGCCTAATTACAACATCACACAAAATTAAACCAATAGAACAAACAAAAAACTTATCGAAATAATGAATATAAAGATGAAGCGGAAATAACAGACTCACACAGATCCATAATATGATTCCTGCAAATTGCACAATTATCGACCACGATATCTGCGTAAATAAAAAATTAGGGTTTAGGTTTCGAGCGCTCTGAAAAAATTAGAACACGAATTTTTACAAGGAGGTTTTAATTTAATTAAATATAAAAAAAAAACACGAATTAGAGGTAGGATTAGGATCGATTGCATACCCCAGGCCCAGAGAGACACGGCGTTCCACTTCTTGATCTCGAATCGCTTCGGTTTCTTGCTGGACGACGTCGGATTAGTGTTGGAAGGTCCGGCGCCGGAAGACCCCTCGCCGGCGGGAACCATAGTCACGTCGGTATCTGCTGACGCCATCTTCCGATTGTATGGAAGCACCGGTTTTCCTTTTCCGTTTGTACTTGCCTTTTGGTTCGGACTTCCGGGTGACTTGATTATTGAGCCGTGAAAATATATATATATATAGAATTTTATTTTATTTTTATAAAGGAAAAAATATGAGGACACTATGATGGCATGTTTATATATTAATATTCGGGCTGGGCTCTCCGATGGGACTTTTAGTTACTTTAATTGGGCCTAAGCCCCAATTTTTGAAATATTTCAAATTAAAAATAAACTCGGTGAATGAGATGGACGTTGATTTATAAGTTTAAATTATATTATACGTTTTAGATTACTGAAAATTGGAATTTTCAGACTTTTGTGGACTTTGATTCGAAAATTTTCGATTTTAGAATAAGTTTGTTTTATTCCAATTCCTGAAAAGCCGATTTTCGCTTTTTTTGACTTTTCTTAAGGGGTGTTAGTGTATAGGTCCCTGGTGACAAAACTTATTTGAACTAAATGATAAGTCTAACTAAACATTTGATTCACATCATTTATAAAATTCATTCCAAAAATGCCCCTTCACTCACAAATTTGAAATATTAATTAAGTAAATTATATACTGCATTTATCATTTTATTTATTATGCATTTAATATTTTAATATTTCAATCTATATTTTTTTCTTCAGAATATCCGTTTGTCTTCCTTTTTTTCTTTATTTGTTTTAGCATTTTATACACTATTATAAAAATTTCTTTTTTTTTCTTTTTTTTCTACGTAATACAGTATATATTGAGAATTACAAAAAGAAAATATATGCTATTTATTTATTTTTATTTTTTTTATTTCAATTTACATATTTTCAAATTTTCTATAGTATACTATGGTATATTACGATGTACTGTAGTATACTATAGCGTAGTGGTGTACTATGGTATACTGTGTACTGTGCTTTACTACCAAACCCTATCCATCAAAAAACTTCTAGCCGTCGCAAACCCTAGCAGCCAACGCAGCCGCCGCCAACCCCAGCAACCCACGCTCGCAGCCGCCGCGATTGTAGTTACCTACCAACTTTGGGAAAACCTAGATCTGACATTTGAATCAAGCAAAAATCTTTCAAAACATAAGGATTTCAGATTCAATTGATTAGTAAAAAATATACTTTCCATAACATCTCAACCATATTCGCAGCCCCCACCCGCCGCCGCCGCCGCCTTCATCGGCCGCCGTCGCATCAACCTGCCACCGCCGCCTCCACCACACTCTCTCGATCCACCGCCCCTCTCCTGCCTTCGTGCAATTACCGAAAGTGAGAACAAGAGAGACATAGAGATGAGAGAAAAAAACGAGAGAGAAAGGGAGATAGAGAGAAATTGCGATAGGTAGAGAGAACGTGTGAGAGATAATGAAGAGAGATCGTGTGAGAGAGAAAAAACAAAAAGAATAAGAATAAATTTTAATTGAACGTGAATGTCTAGGTTTATAGGATTTAGTGTATAAGGGCAAGATGGGGATTAAAAAAATTAAGGATGTGGCTCATATATTATTTCAAATTAAGGATTTAATTAAAACGTTGAATTTGGGTTGGTCATTTAGTTCAAATTATGTTTTTTTTTTAGGGCTTATGGCATATTAACCCCTTTTTTAATGGAATAAATTTATCGTAATGTGTTTAATCCGATCCGATTCATCTTGATGAAGCCTTAAAGGGCCCTAACAGTAGTAGTAATAATATGGAATGGGCCTTGGTGACAAAGAGAACCCCCTAATAAAGGAAACCTCGACTGAATAAGAGTCCAACTGTCTCCGATAACCTGTAAAAAAAAGTGTCGGGGAAGGTTTTTCTGGCGTTAGTACTCCAAATGTTAAGTCAATCGAGTAGAGTGGAAGACGATATATCTCTTATATAGGTAAATAATGTTGTAATGGATGGAATATATGAAGAAAATGAATCTGATTTTTCTTGTGTTCCATAGTTGTATTACTGCAATGGCGATGGGTCTGGTGAGACCCCTATCTTATTAAATCACGATGCACATGTAGAGTGATGTGACTTGCTACAAGGTCATTTTGATCTACTGAAGGCGATAATACTTCATTTTACCGCGATTTATGTCACTTTGGAGTTGCTCTTAACTGTCGTAATCGAGCTCGATTTTGGTTGGTGGACCTCTTTCCAGTCCACATTACGATGCAAAATTTTCCCTTATTTCTGACATTGGAACGAATGCAATCACATACATCGCTTACACATACCCTATGTAAGACTATTTGGTAAGCTCTAGCAGTTATATTGGATGATGCTACTTTGGGTCCACCAGCCTTTGGACTTTGTATGAACCTTTTAAATCAATATGGGCCTCTAGCAATTGGGTCGTATCAAATTGGCTTCTCACCCCTAAGGCCCTAACGCCACCTATTTCACAATTTAAATCTTTTTGATGCTGATTGGAAAACTTCTCACCTTTCTGAATTAACAATTCAATCATCTCGTTTTAATTACAGTTGACAAAAAGAAATACAAAAAAAAATGTCCATGAATCACAAAAACAGAAAAGAATGTGCTAAAACTCACAAAACTCACACTTCCCCTAACTAAAAAATGTGTCACCCTCTACACAATCAATGACAAAAATTTATCTATCTCAAATCTCTATATACAGTTTTGATCTATCCACAAATTTCTCTCTATTTTTTTTCCTCTGAATTATTCAAACATTTCCCAATATTCTGTTCCGTAAAAACAACCGACGACGATCTCGGAGACCTCCCCCGAATAACCTTATGCCTCTTCTCCTTATGCGAATCAGTACTATCCGTCGAAACAAACACAAACGTGCCCATACTAACCTCGTTATCAAAATCTTTCAACGACTCCAACACTTTAACGACTTCACTCATAGTCGGCCTAAGCTTAGGCCGATGGCTCAAGCACCGATAAGCCAAAGCAGCCGCCTCTTGAGCCGCTCTTTCCGGATATTGCCCTTCCAACCTAGGGTCCATTGCCCTAATCAGCTTCCTAGGATTCTTCAGCATCGGCCGGGCCCACTCTGCGAGAATCTGTTCTCTGTAAGAACGGTTTTTGTCCACCGATTTCCGACCCGTCAGAAGCTCTAGTAAGAGCACCCCGAAGCTGTACACGTCACTCGCTGATGTCAGATGACCTGTCATTATGTATTCGGGCGCTGCGTAGCCTTCGGTGCCCATTACTCGTGTTGAGACGTGCGTTTCGTCACCTTCTGGCCCGTCTTTCGCTAGCCCGAAATCGGAGAGCTTCGAAGTGTAATCCTAATTAAATAAAAAAAAAAAAAAAAAAAAAAACAGATTAATTATTTATTGCAAAATTATATGATCTGATATATATAAATTTATGGGATTGGGAAATAAATTACCGAGTCTAGCAAAATGTTCGAAGCTTTAAAATCGCGATAAATGACGGGTTTTGCGGATTCGTGGAGGAAGGCTAGGCCTTTAGCAGCTCCTATAGCAATCTTTATTCTTGTTGACCATGGTAGTGAAACTGAAAATCCTGTGTGCAAGAAACAAATATAATTTCTTATAATTTCATAAATTAATTAAATAATTATTGTTGCCAAAATAAATTTCTTACAAATTTTCAAATGTCATAACTTTTAAGAACATAATTTTAATGAAAAGGTGTAGCACATTTTTCCAATTAATTTTACACATATTTGACTGAGTAATTGCATGAAATTCAAAGTCATGTTTCTGAAGTTTTAATGAAGCACTGAGACTGAGCTAATCATAGAAAAGGTCATATATACTAAATAAACCATATATCTATTTATATATTTATTTATTTTTTAAATATTTTTTTTTAACTGGAAATATTGTATGACTAACAAAATGTAAGAATCATTACACGAAGCACTTGTGCAATGAAATTCAATGGCAATTTCCATCTCTGTGTGAATGTGTTGAACAAAATTTAATTGACTTTCAGTTAAGTGTATATATATATATTATATATATATATATATATATACAACAGTAAATGTCAACTTCCAACCCAAACACACACACCACCAAGAACCAACTGGCTTTTTCCTCAAATACTTTTTCATATTATATACACACTAAACTTTTTTCGTACCATGTTGATCCAATTAAATTCAAATTAAAATTAGTGAGTTACAGCTACATATATATACATATATAGATAAAGCAATATATATAAATTAAAATTAGAAAGTAATTAAAAAAAGAAAATGAAGAAATAATCAACTTACTTCGAAAGAGCTGATTTTCCAAGCTGCCTCGAGGCATGTATTCATACACAAGAAGCCTGTGTTCTTCTTCGCAACAGTATCCAATCAGCTTCACCAAATGCGCATGTCGTAATTGCCCAAGAAATATAACTTCCGTCTGTTTATTCATTACAACAAACAAAAAACAAAAACGATTAATTAAAATTGATTAATCATGTAACAATTTACTATATGATTAGCTGCAGGTTCCTTTATTATAATAAAAAAAAATACATACCAGCCATTCGCGATGGCCTTGTTTGCCATCGGGATCCATGGCCTTAACGGCAACGGGCTGGGCCTTCAAACCGGGCCGGATCTTGTCGTCGACGAAACCCTTGTGCACCTTACCGAACCCGCCTTCGCCGAGGAAGTTACTAGACGAGAAGTTGTGCGTAATAACTCTCAGTTCATTGAGCGTGAACACGTGGATATTCGAACCCGCCAACGAAATCGACAGATCATCGGAAATTGTACTGGAGCTGCTCAAATCCGACAGCGAAATCCTATGAAACATTAACGAAGATTGCGGCTGCTTCATCTTTATCCGAATCGGGTTCGGGCTGTCGGGCTTGAAGCAGCCCGTTAGATAGTTTTGCCAACATCTCGCCTTCTTCTTCACCGCCATTGATGAAATGAATATATGATGGTTGCTTCTTTTTCTTTTTTTTATGTAGATAGAGAGATAAAAAAAATTAGCTAATGGTTATATATATATATAGGACTTAGTAATTGATGATCTCATATTTTGGGATCAATTATTATTTTAATTTAGATCATGCAGTATAGGCTATAGCATGTAGTACAATAATTCGATGTGTGCTCGTCCACTACATTATTATATAGCTGTCTGTCGGTCCTAATATAAACCGGTTGGTAAGATAAGATTAATCGAGAGCGACACAATAATTAAGGTGTTCCTTCGGTAGAATCATACCGGTTTAACGAACTGAACTATTCGGTTCGGTTTGGTACGGTAATTTACTGAATAAATTCTTTTTTTTTTTTTGCTTCGGTGTCGATTAAATCGAAAATATATTTTCTTATTTAAAAAAATGTTAAAAAATTAAACTAATTAATTCTTAAATTTGACATTCAAATTTCAATAACCGGTCCTAAAATAAAAATTGATTATCTATAGAGACTAGTTTATAAATAATGGAAAAAAATTATCAATCTAAAAGTATTTTATAATTTGTTACAACCTTGATGGATTTTTAAATAAAATAAATAAGTAAATAAATATATGTTAAATATTTCGGTACGGTACAATATAGCGGGCATCAATACCGTATATCATATCAAATCGAATTTTCGGTTCGATATTTGACACGTACTGAAATTCCGGTTCAGAACGTTTAGGCTGTTTAACCAACCAAGTGAATTCCCCTAACAATAATTATGAAATTTATGAGGATCAATATTTAATTATATAGCTGGTATATGATTGGTTAAGATAGAACTATCCAAATTAATTTTTAATAAAATTATAGGAAGCTTCAATACATAATTCTTGGATTAACCTAGATAAAAATTCATTCGACGCATAAAAATTATCGAACTAACCAAACAACAAAATAACCATAGTTTTTCTTGCCAACCAAACAATTTATATATGTTTGAAAATACTAATTATTTTACTATTATTTAAAAATATTAATTCGCTTTACACTCAACTCTCACATCAACTCTTTTAAGTGTATAAAATATTTCAAAAGAAAATTAAAAATATTTTTATTTGAAATAATCTCTTGGTGGAACATACAATGAAATGAAATCGAATTGATGATGATAATGACTATAATTTATTTGACATAGTAGTTTTGAGATGATAAATAATTAATTTCAAAATATAAAATATATATATTTATATATTTGGAATTTACGAAAATACTAGCATGTGTTGTATAATTAGTAAGCTAATAAAAACAAAGGAATTTAAATAAAAAATAATAAGCAGACATCGTCCAGTCTTACAAATTTGATTGGATAGAAAATGACCTGGCTGCCCTTCTTGACTTTCTTGTAGTCATGCTACTTAAAACTGCAGGCTAATTTTTATTTATTAATAATATATTTGGGAATTAAATTATTATTTTATTTACATGCCTAATTTGATTATAATTTGAAGAAATTTCTGTTTGGCTATTTGCACTGCGCGTTTCTGTACGCGGATTATTGATCTTTCAACACATTTATACAGCTAGGTGCTAGCATATACTATATGATATATTTATGCGAATTTATATACAAATTAACTCTTTTTTTATTATATATATTAACTTTTTTTTTTATTATATAAATTAACTCACTAGTCAATATACAAGAATTGACCAAAATACAGGCGGCTAAACTGTTGCTCACTTACTTAAGGGGGTGGTAAATATTTTTTTCCAACATAATTCAATTTTATGGAATCATCCTCCAATTAATAAAACATCGCCAATTAGGTCCAAATTTATCCCAGAATAAAAAATAACATCATAATTATTTTTGGGTTACACTCTATCTAATTAATTAAATTTGTTTCGTTAAATGATTTTATATTTTTGGTTTCTTCCAAGCTCCAATCATTAAATAAAAACAATACGTATGCTCTGACGATCTACCTAGTAACACATAAATAAAAACAATTTTAATGCGTAAATAAAAAAAAATAGAATTTAAATATAAAGTGGGAGTTTTTTTTATTTTTATAAGTATATATAAATTTTCAGTTCTTTTGGCTTAACACGCTAATGGTTGTTAGCAAAAGTCTAATTATGCCAAGAAGATCATTTTCAAGACTAATTAATCTGTAAGGAAACAAATGGTAGTAGTATTGCAACAAGTTGGCGCGTGTTCTAGAAACAAATTTAATTGATTCCCACGTATATGTATATATATACACATTAGTGTATGTATACATAATGCATGAATGTAACAAAGAATCGTAACGCATATATAATATATTATATATGGGGGAGTTGGTGGCGCGTCATGTCAACGTGTAAGTCGTGTTTTGTTGGGAATAAGATGAGCAGAAATGTTGTTTACCTTGCCTAAGAAATAATAACTCATTAGCCATCGCTACTATTTTTTTTTTTAATAATAAAAAATAAATAAATAAAGTAGTTGGTAAGAATATATTTCCAGCCCTCAATATCAGAAGTCAATTATTTCATTTATTATATGGTCAATTTTACCACATTTTCCCTGATGGTTTAACTTTATTCACACGACTCTTAATTCACTAATCAGTTAGTTTCTTAACGAATTTAAATTGAAGTTTCGATAATAATAAGGCCTATATGACTTCAGTTATTTGGGCCAGGCCCAAAACAATATTTTTATCAACAATTTCATTAGGAGTACAATACTATATGGGCCAGTTGTTCAAAAGTCCATTTTAAAAAAATGCCCTACACAAAGTCTTAAACAGTTTAGACTCAAGACCGCCTCATCCACTACAACTTGTTAAAGTCTATCAAATAGGCCTGTATAGGTATGTTTAAGCGGCGGATGTGACCACATTCAGCTCAACGTTTGAGAATGCACTATAACGTGGACCGAAAGGAGGCCGACCAACCAGGATGAAACTCGTTTAAGACAATTAGAGCAACCACGAAACGACCGAGGTCGCAGTAAGATGAAGCAGCTCGCCTTCAGTGGATAAAAAGTGCTCGCTGTAAGTCACGTCACTCTGCACGTGCATCATGACCTGATAAGAAATGGGTCCCACCAGACCCATCTCTATGGCATGCATATATAAATATAATCGTGGAACGCAAGGTAAAGGGAAGTTCATTCTCTAAGAAATATTATATTGTACATCATTCTTTAAAAGATATATCGTTTTCCGCTCTACCTCACTATCTTAAATGTTGAAGTGCTGACGCCGAAAAAATATTTCCCGACACTTTTTTTTCCAGGTCTCCTAACACAGTTGACCTCTTTCTTGAACGAGTTTTCTTTCACCTTGGATCTCTCTTTATTCTCAAGGCCCATTCCATTTTGTTATTCACAATAAGACCATTTAGGCCTCATCAGATACCAAATAAAATTTGAAAGTGTCATGAACTCACAACATATTATATATGTAATGGTATATACTTAATTGAGTAGTACAAAAGTTCATCAAGCTAGATAATTGATATGGACTTCAGAGTATTAATTACCTACAAAACACTTCAACACTATATGTAATTATATATAATTAATATTATGTCTTATTAAGAGAAAAAAGTGGTAAAGTACAGTATCAGAGTATGTATCTTTCAGCCCCACCATCTTCACAAGTTGTAGTGCAGCTTTTCAAATGATATGGAAGCTGTGCTGGTGTTTTTCCAAATTTTCCTCTATTATTATCCAATTAAACGGGGGAGAACCACACACACATTATCTTACATTTTATTGGTTAGAAAAGGACAATAGAGAAATAAATATCTTTTTAAAATGAATATAATATTAATATTGGACCTTTTGTAACAATAATTTAACAAGTCAATTGAATATTGGAGCGGTAAATGGGCCCCGGTGATGGACCTTTTGTAAATGGGCCATACCGTATTCTAGATGACAGTCCCCTTTGTATTTGTCTAGGAGCGCCTTTATGTGTATTTGATATTAGTATGAGTGGAATCTCATCTGCCAATTTCGATATGAAAATATCTAAATTTGGAATCGTCTTTTCATTTTGATTTTCGATTTTTTAGAGTATATAGGAACAAAATTGTATTGTATATAAAATTATCGGAAATTCCGATTTTAGTTTCAAATATTTCTATGATTTTTGTGAAGTATATAATATAATTTTATGATATATTTTGTAATTCATGATTTAACTTATGTTATATTTATACGGAAAATATAGAAACCGAAAGGTCAAGTAATTAAAACCCTAGAAAGTATTAATAGGGATCAGAAACATTATATTGTATTTTCGTCATAAGAAAATTCATGTTTCAGTTTGTTGTTCCTATACGTGTTTGGATTTTTTGAGTTTTGTAGAACTCTCTTTTGAAGTTTCTTGTATTTTCCTGCAAAGTTGCAAAAAATATAGAAAAAAATATTGTAAAAACTTCCATTATATTTGAATTTGGAACGGTGTAATTTTTGAAATTACGCCGTTTCCTAGGCATTTCGAAATCGGGAATGATTATCATATCCTCCGATGTTTTTGTAATGGAAACCGTAACCCATTTTTTACTTCCGAAAAAATTGAAAATTTTCTGAAATATCTATTTCCAATCCATAATCCATTTCGTCCGATTTTCACACCTAGATATTATGAACTAAAAGACACGAAAGAGCAAGTTTACCCAATGCACCTATATAATTGATTGCGCATTCTTCAATTAAAAAAAACAATAAAGGTAACTATTACTTCTGAGTAAATAAAGGTTAACTAATTAAACACTCAAGACTCAACAAATTAATATTCAAAATTTAAATTTGAAAACCAATGGTAGGGGAAGAAAAAAATATCCAATCATAGCCGTAAATTTTCCAGTCCACGTCATCATCTACATCATCAACGTAACCCATCGAGATTCTCGAGATTCAATTCCACAACACGATAAGCCTAGACCAATGATGGGCTTCCACCGCACCATACTTGTGGGGCCCACAAACGTAATTATTTACAGAAATACCCCTTCCGGCATGCCCATAAATAGGAATCCCGTATAAGATTCCATCACTCATCAGTTCACAGTATCACTCTGACTATGGCTCGTGTTGCACTCCTCGCCGTCGGGGTTTTGATCGCCTGCATAGCCGGCGCACGAGCCGGATCGGAATTCCTCGCCGACGAGAATCCAATCAGACAGGTCGTCGACGGTCTGCACGAGCTCGAGACATCTATCCTCCGAGTACTCGGAAACTCGCAGCGCGCTTTATCCTTCGCTCGATTTGCTCATAGGTTTACTCATGCTTGAATTACATGTTTTGATTGATATATATATATATATATATATATATATATATATATATATAGATTTGATTTTTAATTTATTGATGAGAGATTTGTTTTGTAAAAAGGTATGGGAAGAGGTACGGTGATGCTGAAGAGATGCAGAGGAAATTCCAGATATTTTCTGAGAATTTGAAGATGATCAGATCTCACAACAAGAAGGGGCTCTCTTACACTATGGGAGTGAACGGTAATTTTACTCTTATTGTAGTTGATATTTGGAATATTTCAATAGTTCTTCATTTCATGAGATTTTTCATTGTTGATTTTACTGGTTTCTAGGGTTACTGTTTGTGCCTTTTAAGTGTTTGTTGAATTGTCGATTACTGTGAAGTTGAATATATGTTGATTGTTCAGCTAAATTTGTGTTCTAGCTTTGGTTTCTAGAATTAATTAGTTACTCTATAACCATAATTTCTGATTAACAAACGAAAAAGCAGTTTTAAGATATAAATTTTTTGATTTTTTAATTGACGATGATCATTCAAATGAACAGAGTTTGCTGACATGACATGGGAGGAGTTCCGTAAGCATCGGTTGGGAGCAGCTCAGAACTGCTCTGCTACCAGGAAGGGCAATCACAAGCTCACAGACGTCATTCTTCCGGAATCGGTAATTGCATCTGTTTTTATTCAGTGTTTTAGTTTTTGGTGTTTGCTGTATTATTATTATTATGTTTTGTTAGTATTTATTTCATGCAATACATAATTCATGTTTCGGAAGATTCAGATGTTATGTAAATGATATGGTAGTAATTCTTTAATTCAAATATGTTCTAATGGTTTTAAGAGAAAAGCTTCCTTCACCAATGTTACGGTTTTTTCTTTGTCAGTTAGATAGAGCTTTGTGATAAATGGAACTGCTATAATACTACAAACTCTTTTTTCCATTTATTAGTAAAATTGGATTTGCAGTTTAATGGTCAATTAGAATTCATTTGGATCGTTTTGAAATTAATGATTTGTAATCTATCGTAACAAATCCAGTGAACTCGTTCAAATCTTCTCAACTCATATTTTGAGCTAATTTGACTAATTATGATACATGGAGTCATTTGAAATCTTTTCCCAAAATCTTCCTCGTAAATCCAAATACAACCCAAATGAACACTTAACTATGTGATTAGTATGACAATATATGAAGCTTTTGTGAGTCGTATAATCCAGAATTTGAGGATGCAACTAGTCAAATTTTTGATTTTAAATACTCGTATTTTTGACTTGGTTGTGATGGATTGCAGAAAGACTGGAGGGTAACCGGCATAGTTAGCCCCATAAAAAATCAAGGTTCATGCGGATCTTGCTGGACATTCAGGTGAGCTCATTTTCTCCGTCAATATTTTTTACTGATCGGATTGAACTGTCACAAGTACTACTATTGCATCCTAATATATGTGACCTTTTGCAGTACAACCGGAGCACTTGAGGCTGCTTATACACAAGCATTTGGCAAGGGTATCTCTTTGTCTGAGCAGCAGCTTGTGGATTGTGCCGGAGCATTCAACAACTTTGGATGCAACGGTGGACTGCCCTCTCAAGCCTTTGAATACATCAAAGCTAACGGCGGGCTTGATACTGATGATGCATATCCATATACTGGAAAGGATGGTGTTTGCAAATATTCATCCGAAAATGTTGGAGTACAAGTGCTTGACTCCGTCAACATCACATTGGTTAGATGCTTGGCCCGTTTCCTTTAGAAAAAATAAAAATAAAAAACTAACAATTTAATTTGGATTTTACGAGATTCAATCAATTGTAGTTTAGAAAATATCAGACACATCACGAAATAAATATGTGTTCTAACTTGTTCATGATATCACAGGGTGCTGAAGATGAACTTAAGCATGCGGTAGCATTTGCTCGTCCAGTAAGCGTGGCTTTTGAGGTCGTTAATGGTTTTAAAGCATACAACGGAGGAGTTTACACAAGCACCAAGTGTGGCAGCTCTCCAATGGTGAGTTATTCTTGTTCCTATTTACGATGTTCGGAAAATGGATACAAGATGTGTTTATAAGAGACAAAAGGAATTGCATTGAACTTGCTAATACGTATAAATCGTTGGCGATTTTCACATTTAGAGCATATTTTGCAGGACGTAAACCATGCTGTTCTTGCTGTCGGTTATGGAGTTGAAAATGGAATCCCATACTGGCTCATTAAAAACTCGTGGGGAGCTGACTGGGGTGACAATGGGTACTTTAAGATGGAGATGGGGAAGAACATGTGTGGTAAGTCTTTGTCCAGGTTATTAAATTGTAATTTATTCGCCCCTTATTTATAATATTATCTAAAATATATACCACAGTTGCATGAGCTTATTTTTATTTCTTTGTCGACCAAAAAACAAAAAAAAACCCTTCTCGAATAATGCGAAAATCGGCCAGTAAAGTGGTAAGCTAATGGGAGTAACTCGTTTGCAGGCGTTGCTACTTGTGCATCATATCCGGTCGTTGCATAATTGTTCGTGTGAAGAACAATAAGATATTGCTCGTTTAAATGTATAAAACCAATCGAATCCACAAGTCGGAGATGCAGTGGCTGTCAAAGAGTATCCCTTCAACGGTAGTTCTGTTGTACAAAAATAAGATTGTTGTACTAAGAATCAGATATTCGTGTCCGCTTACAAAAGCTGTGTATAAATTATTACCGATGCCTGATAGATTATCGTTCAGCAGTAGATGAAATGGTATTAATAGTTTGTATGTGTAAACATGTTATTGTGAACTGTGAACTTAATTATGAAGAACCGGAACTTATCGTAGAGATTGATACTCGTGTCTACATTCAACTCTTTTCGTGAATTGGATATATAAATGTACGAAGAAAAAATAAAAATCCAACTGATATAGGAATTTAAAATCATAAATTAAATGCATAAATTGTCGACCAAGCGAATTCAAATTTTTTTTCTTTTCGAAGTGATGGAAATTAAAAATAGTCAATGAAGGAAATTTTTTATGCTACACCTGATTACGAACACCGGGTACTATTGCTCGTCTGTCTTTCCTTACCAAACCCATCCATAAATTTGGGCCTTAATTATAGTATATAATGTTTTAAATTATAGGGTTTGGGCCTCCAATGAGTTTAGGGCCTGGGCCGGGCTGAAATATATTTTTGTAAATAATTCCCGATTACCTACGGAAATTTCATTAAAGGGTAAATTACAAGCCCCCTCAGGTAAGGTCTATTTACTAAACGAACCCTAATATTTCCATAATTACATTCTAAACCGTGGTTTCTAGATTTATTACATTAACACCCATTTTGTAGGGGGTGAATGTAAAATCACAAATATAAGGGGTCTTATTGTAATGTATAAACAATGAGGGTCCTTTTTTATAAATAAACTTTACATGAGGGAGGTAGTTGTAATTTACACATTTAATTAAACTCAAACAATAATTTGGAAACTTTGATATTGTTTAATGTTTCATACTTTCATTAGCGAGTCCGCATACATTATTATTACTGTTTTTCTTTTTCAGTATCTTTATCACAGATTTACATATGAATCTGCTTCGCTTTCTATCTATACATACGCAATTACACATGAAATCTGTAGAAGATATGCCTGTAAATTGCAACAGTATATCATGGGCGATGACGATGACGATAGCCATGGAAAGTGGCAACTCTGACAGCAATCACCGAATCGAACTCCTAGGTTTTGTAATTGTTCACCCTAAGATGGCTTGTGCTTCTTCGATCTACCACTCGACGATTTTCTCCGCCGTCGATTGGAGATGCCCGGCGGCGCAGCAGCTGATGTCAGAATATCAGAGTGGCTCTTTATCACCGTCGTCCATTTCTTCAATCGGTAAAAACAGCGACGAGTTCAGGTACGGGGAGGACGACGGAGATGAGGTGCGGAGTGGGTATAGAGGAGGGCCGTTGGACCGTTTAAATGCTTTAGAGGAAGTTTTGCCTGTGAAGTATGTCATATTCCTTTTATCGTATTTTGATTAAATCTGCCTTTTCCCCCCCTAACTTAGGGTTTTGATTTTTTTTTTTTAATTTGATATTATGTGCAATTTTCATTGGAGCTAAAATAATTCTCAATTTGAGGCTTTGGATGTTCAATTTATTATTATTTTTCTTCTTCATAATTTTGGGGTTAGGGTTTCTGTCTTTTCTTCAGTAGTCACGTGTGTAGGAAAGAATAATCTACAGAAGGAGAGTTAATCATGTGTTGCATCTGCAACTTCATCTGAATGATTTGTTTGAATGCCTTGTATGAGGGGATTGCTTGGGGAAATATAGATATTAAACTGTGTCTTATACGAGTTTAAATAGTTCTTAAGATGTTTCGGGTTTGGTGAGGCATGACGTTCTATTTATTTACGTTTGCGTTTAGTGAGTGTATCACACAAGAATTAGTAAGACATGAATTAGGTCCACATACGAAAGGCCTAATAGAGTTTTTAGGTTTTATTAAGTAATACATGTCTGTAAGCTATCAGTATGTTTGTTAATTGCGTCTCGTTGTATCTATTAGTAAATATAAATGTGGAACTCTTTCCAAGAGCTCCAACCACTCTATTTGAAAGTCGAATTCAAAACTTTTACATGAATTTCAAATGGATTGAGATTGGTCGAGCTGTATAGTTGGAGTTGTAATTATAACGAGATCCAATGAGAGATTTATCATAATAAAATGTTATTTCTTGTTTCTTTAGGAGTGTTCACTTCGTTTTTTTTTTGGAAATCTTTCACCATCCTTGTGGCTGCATGTCTTCTTTTCTCCATGTTTGTAAAATAAGTTTCTGATGATGAGAAATTTTTTCCAGGAAAAGCATATCGGACTTTTACTGTGGTAAATCAAAATCTTATAGCAGTCTATCTCATGCAACATCGTGCTCGTCTACTGAAGACATCACTAAACCAGAAAATGCATACAGCAAGAATCGCTCTGAGAGCAATAATGCTGAAATTTCTAGCTCTAATCCGTCATCACTGAGTTGTTGCCTTCCTCTTTCGCCATTAAGTGCAAAAACAGCTCTTCATGGTGAGTTTTCTATGTCACCCTATGAATCTAATTTATGCTTGATGTTCATGGAGGTGGAGACATTTGTACCATCTTTCATGTTTTATAATCATGTGGAACTGCCCAATGTAGTTAGTGTCGAGCTCTTCCACAATGTAATTTCTGAAATATACTTACTTTCGCAGAGAGGGATTGTATAACTTCTCAAATTCTGTGTTAATACCCCTGAAAGTTCCTTGAGCAGGTAAATACGCTTGCCCCGGAGAAAGTCAGAATTTCCTTGAAGCTACCATTGGAGTTATGCTGTTTCTTGAATGAGCTGAACTACTGCTCTCCTCTACGGTCAAAGAAAGGTTGCAAACTGCTATAATAAAGGCTGCTTTCCATAAGAAGCTTTCATGATCTAATATATCTTCTTCGTCCTCATTCCTTTTTTATTTCTGCAAATCCTCTTAGATTATTTCATCAATCAAATTTCAATATGTTAGCCAGCTTGAGATGTACGTTGGTTGCTGCCAGAATCTGACGACTTAGGGGACTTTATGGGCATCCCCCGTTGGATAGAAATTTAACCTTCTTTACTAACGATGGGGAATGAAGTTGTTGAGTGTCACATTCATATTTTGCTCCTTGTTGATGTTCTATGTAAGGTATGACCTCCTACCTAGCTTTTCACAACTAATTCTAGCTCGGGTTCAAAAGTCAGTTTGATCATTTTTATCTTTGTTCATGCTTATCTTGCTTGCTTTACAGACTCACCATAGAATGTCTTCTCTTGACAGTTTTCTCTCTTCTTTTTCCCCCTAAAGAGCATGTACTTAATCAGCTGACTCCATTTGGGCTTACTGGCAAATATTATGTTTACCATGACACATCACAGTGAACCTTAAATTCCGACTTTATGTGACATGAATTGTGCAAAATAATGATATTTAACATGCACAGCCTTTTGATATAAAAGATTGGATTTCCCTTTATGTACTTTCTAACACGAGTTGTACGGAATAACTTCGCACGTGTTGTCGTATTAGCGCCAGAGTTATAACTTTTAGTTACGACGTACATAAAGACAAAAAAGACAAAACCTTAGATTGGATTTTCCTTTTTGTACTTTCCGATACTAGTTGTACCGAATAAACTTCAGTCGTTTTGTCGTATTTGCCCCAGAGTTATAATTTTTTAGTCACGACGTACATAAAGACAATAAAGGCAAAACCTTAGACTGGATTTTCCTTGTTGTACTTCCGACACTAGTTGTACGAAATAACTTCACACGTGTTGTCGTATTCGCGCCATAGTTATTATTATTTTAGTTACAACGTACATAAAGACATAAAGGCAAACCCTTAGATTGGATTTTCCTTGTTTTACTTTCCGACATTAGTTGTATGGAATAACTTCTGACGTGTTGTCGTATTCGCGCCCGAGTTATTGCTTTTTTAGTCACAACGTACCTAAAGACAATAAAGGCAAAACCTTATACACGCAACAGTTGAGAACAGGATAATTTGTAAAAGAATATAACAATTTTGTCGTTTTGCATCACGAATTCTTTTGAGAATCGTACCTACTGTGGCGCATAATTTGTACGGAATAACTGCAAAAATATGTCGTATATGCGCTGACTTAAACTTTTGAAAGTCATTTATTGAGCATAGAGAGCAGATGTTATTATGTCGTCTAAATCATACACGTGACGTATGAAGAAATTGGTTTGGTTAATGGAAATACTTAGTTGTGTGAGAACAGGCTATTATTTATGATTAACAGAATTACCGCCTTTTTTTGTTCTTGTCGGAAAGACAGTTCACAAAATAAACTGTACAGGGAATCTTTGTTTTTCTAACGTCTTAGCTAGACGACAAACACTCTCATAATAAAGCTATGATACGAGTAAACTTGATTAACTAATTAACGCCGTATTTTGATCATAAGCTTCAGGTTTCTATGTTTAGGGTTTTACGACTATCCAATTAAATAACAAGTAAAACTCAACTTTTCACTGAGCTACGGATTTTATTGATGTTTATTCATCATTTGTAGGTATATAGGGGGACTACATTTCTTAACAGCTAACGTCTTTAGCATCAGTTGTAACCGAAGATACTTTAGATGAGGGTTTATTACTTTATGTATTTTTGTTAGATGTCACTCAGTTTTATCAAAAGATACGTAATGAAAAGACAGAAAGCTTGTATATTTCATAATAATTTATGGTGTGTCGTTATCGGCTAATGATCTCTTTTTTTTTTCTCCCTCAATTCAGTCCCAAAAAAGAAATTTGAGTCACAAAAATGTGATTCTTGATATTTTCCCTATGATTTATGTGGGAATTCAAGAAATCGGATTACTAATACCTCCATGGTGTGGTATTATCTGCATCTGAAGGATGAGATTACCATTCACAGAATAATATTTTAGATATCAAGAATACCACTGTAATCTCTCTAGGTTTTCGTAGAGAGGATTTTGCTTTTCAGGCAAATTGTTGAGTTCTTTGTTTTCTTCGCCCTGCCTCGTTGAGTGACACGTGTCAAATTTTCTCTGGGGCTACTTCGTTGACTGAAACGGAAATTTCATGAATTCCTGGGCTTATTACCATAATCCCCGGTGATAACATTAATCACCACCTACTATAGATGATTTCTGTGAGTGATACCAACTCATCATAATTATTACTTGTTCTTTTGTGAAACTAATTGATAAGCACAACGTCATGATTTTCTCACCTGTAGCCTGAATAGCCCTTGCTCCACTGCTATATAAACCGGTGTTGTGGGTGTACAGTTCACTCGCAACAAAAAGAGATTCTCTATACAAGAAAGAGTTTTCTCTTGTAAGTCTCTCCTCAGTTTTTTTTATTTTATTTTCTGCGAGTCCATATATTAAATTTTGCTAGATAAGCTTTCCTTTTAGAGTTATCAAAATTCTTGATTTTTATAGCAACTGCATTTGTTGTAAGATCTTGTGCAGTAAACATGTTTTGGAGATCTACTCCACATGAGCTGCATTAATGTCTTCCAACTCATCTCTTGCATCCTTCATTCTGATGTTAAAAATGGCTGCCGATTCCAGCAGTTTTACAGATAACTAAACAGTTTTTGGCTACCAGCAGTTCTCAACTTTTTTGCTTCCAATTTTGTCCTACCCCTTGTTTCTTTTTCCTCGATATCCTTTTTAGCAGCAGTTTTAAGTTTTTTTTCCTTGATTTTTTTTTGCATGCACTTTCACAAGCTAATGTAGTCCATTTCCGTCTGTATTTATTTTTTCAAAACCCTACAGATGTATGTTTATGGCTACTCGATAAAACTCATTCTGTCTCCATAATCGCAGATCTACTTCCTTTAATTTGTTTCCAATTTCTTTTAACCCTTTGTTTCTTTTTCCTCGATCTCCTTCTTTAGCACCAGTTTTATGTTTTTTGCTTTTCGATTTTGTTCAACCTTTTTACTTTTTCCTTTTTTTCCTTGATTTCCTGTTTTGACTTGTTCTTTTTCTGTTTTGCTAATATTTGCATGCACCTTCACAGACTAATGCAGTCTAATTCTATCCATATTTATATGTTTATGGCAACTCCATAAAACTCATACCGCCTCCGTAATCGAAGATCTACTTTCTTTAATTTATTTTACTTTGCGATTTTTTAAATGTCCAATTTCTGTTTTAGCAGGCTTTATCACCATGGATGGAAGAAAACTGTATTCTTTCGACACCCTAATGGATGGAACCCTAGTCGACCGAACAGAAATTCCAGTAACACTTGACCAATTCAGGCTCTTTTACAGTATCGACCGAGACCTCTACATCATCCTCGTTAGGGATCTTTGCCGCAACCCTTCAGAGAGCCTCATAGTAATGGGGCTATGGCTTTGGCTCGAGCGCGAGGGCATATCTAGTGTGATTAGTAAGATCGTGCCGCTCAATCGATATGCGATTGATGCGCTCGCTGACGAGGCTGTCACCTGCATCGACCTGCTGACAGACGGTCCCCGTGCCCCACCCGAGGATGGCCCCGCAGTTGCCTTGATTCACAGCCTGGTGAAGATAGCAATCTCTCTTAACTACCTGCGCGAGAACCGCGTCACCGTGTACAACGAGATCCAGGGCTTGGTGAGCCAGGTTTACATCCTGGCGCTGGCAGACTTAATGGAGCAGGCCCTCCACGGTGGCTTCCACCAGGTGTCGGCGGCCCGTGATGCTGCAGGCCCATCTAGGACCCAGCCCGAGGAGTCATTGGTTCTTGATTTTTCTAGACTGAGCATCGAACGGGATTCAGATGAGAGGCGACGAGTTTCTGATGAGGGGACTAGGTCTGGTAGGACCATGTTTGCGACTTTCTCGAGGGGCTATCCGGTGACGGAGGCTGAGGTGGTGAACTTCTTTACGAGGAGGTATGGCGACTGTATCGAGATGCTGCTCATGCAGGACGTGGGGCCCACCGAGCAGGCTCTATTTGCGAGGATCGTCTTCTTCGAGGAGGAGCTGATCCGGACCATTCTGAACGGGAAGGAGAAGGCGAAGTTCACCATCAATGGGAAGCATGTGTGGATGAGGCAGTTTGTGCCGAGGAATTGAAGGGGGTCGTTTGCTAGCGGTGGCGTGGCTGTGATGATGTTGTTGTTGTTATTCGTGTGTGTCGTTGTTGATTTCGTTTTGCTGTGTTGTTGTTGTGCGTAGTAAGTGACTGGCGTTCGGTATAGTTGTGTCATTTTTTCTGTGTTTGGGTGTTTGTTCTTTTGTTTGTTTTGTTTGTTCTTCAGGTTTAATGTGTTAGGTCAAGGGTAAGCACCAGACTCTTTCGATTTCAGTGATGAACGGTTGCAACTTTAATTCATGCTGTGCTGTAAAAGGTGTTTGGTGCGTGTTATGTTATTTTGCTTTCTAGAGTCAATGGAAGTATCTTTGTTTTTCTTGTTTTATTTTGAATTTTGAATTTTATTTATTGTTATATATTCGATACAAATGATAAAAGAAAACCAGCATGTAGCAATCAACCCAATTCTCTCATCACTTCATAAATAGGCGTTAATTCTTGATTTTGGCTAATAATAATAATAATAATAATAATAATAATCTTATATATAAAAGTAATGAACGATAACACAACTTGTGCAATTATTGCTCTATATCTTTCATATTAGATCGGATAGTAGATGATTATGAAATCATAATCCTATATCAATACAATGTTTTCCTAAAATTAGAGAAATTTAAGTTTTGAATTTTTAATATTATTACTCATATTTGTAATATATACATTAATAATAGTAAATAAACAAAACTCATGATCCAAAGTTTGAGCTTTTTAACTATTACAAAACAAGCACAATTTACTCTATTACAATTATTTTTGTCACATAAATAATTATTACTTTTTTCAAAATTTCAATTTTATTTTTTAGAATAATAATAATAATAATAATAATAATAATAATAATAATAATAATAATAATAAAAAAGAAAAAGAAAAGAAATTCCTTATCAAACAAATAGCTTATAATTTGGGGGCAAATGAGCAAGTACAAAAGATATCCAACCAGTCAGTCCTCTGTGACAGGGTTTTGAAGCCTCGAAGTCCAAGGTACGATTAACACTTCAATCTGAGTTCCGAGTTCCGAGTTCCGAGTTCCGACCCCTTTTTGTTCCTGAACCGAACTAACAGCAACAATTTTCTCTATTTGTTAATTTCTCTCATGTTGATTTTTTGATGGGCTTTGTAATTGAAATGTTTTTCCCTATAATTTATTTTTTGTCAGTTGAAGAAAAATGGAAGGGAATCCGAATGGAGAAGAACCCACTTCATGGGAAGAGCTTTACAACATCAATTTGATGCCTTCTGAGATTTTCCTAAAGTTCAGAAAACAAATTCAGGGTTTCCGCGTCGGCGTTAACTTTGAGGTTTTTTTTTTTTTTTTTTTTTTTTTCATCTTTAATTTTACATCCCCAGTATGTGTACTCAAATCTATTAATTAAGTTTATGATAAAGATTAAGGAATAATTAGGAAATTCCCACTATTGATACTTTTTATAAGTTTATGAATGAGTTTTGCCACTCTGGACAAATGTGTATAATAACCATGTTGTTCTTAAGCGTTTTCCAGCATTTTTCGTACATATTACGACCTATTTTGCAGAGGAAGTTCGTTTATCGTACATATTATCAATTATGCTATGTTTCGCCGCATGCTTTGATGCAATATGAACTTAGTTTTAATGGATCTGCAATGGAACATTCAGTTTCAATAAGACAAAATCATCGAGCGCGTTGTAATTTTTACGAATATTCATGCTGGGTATAATTATATCTCGTTTTATCGGGATTCTTCTCTTGTTCCAATGCAGCTGTGTAATGCTCCTATAAACGACTACCATGCAAAACTGGTATTAAAGCCTTTATCGTACGAGAGGAAATGGAAGTTAATATACGAGCCCTTTTACCAGGATGTGCAGCTCGTTTCCAAGAAAATCCCCGTAACAAAGTTCCTTAATCTACAGGTTTTTGCACCGTTCTTTTTTTTTCCTACATCATTAACTATCGTGTGCGAATTTCGAATGAATTAAGTGTAATAAACTGTGCAGGTTGGAGTAGGGCATAGCTTTCAGCTGCATGCGACAGGTTGGAAATGGAAGCTGACAACATGTTTGGGCGGAGATGGTATTTCTAGGATCCGTAATAAAACATCCCTCGGCTTGTGTCCCGGTGTCGATTTCCGTTTTGGGTGGAGGGCCGATTATGTTCTCCCAGAAATTAATGGGTAACTTACTTTTTTCGGGATTTTTTTTTTCTTTATCTAATAATAAAGATATATTGCCTTGATCATATGCTTTCAATTTCTTTCTTGTTTCGCGTAATGTTCGTTGTTTGTAGGCGCTTGAAAAACTGCGGCTGATGATTTAATTTGAATTGGCATGTGCGCAGGGGTTTGGGGTCGGAAGAACCGTTGTTTAACATGAATTCCGGGCGCTTACAGGCATCACTTGATAGAGTCGAGGCCGTTTTTACACATGGTGACGGAGAATAGAATAGTAATTGGTACATTTACTTGCTACTTTTATTTATTAGTTTAAAAAAAGTTGAAAGATACGGTGAATGGTTAACTCTTTCCTTGAATTTGTTGGCGTAACTTCTTCTACACTTCGACTCTTAGGCTATGTTTGATTGTCGCTGAATGACTTCTGAATGGCAACCATTGCTTATTCAGTATTATTCAGTTCAGTGTTCAACACTTAATCCGAACACTTAATCCTCTTAATCCTGTCAAACGTGGCCTAAGTGTTATGTTGCCTACATATTGCACAATGATCTTCGAAGACAGGAAATGTTTTAATTAACTAAAACGGGAACCCGAAACTCTTACATATCTTCGGAACTTCGTATCAAATGTATGTATGAAGTTTTTTTTTTCTTCCCTCCCTATTACCGGAATTATCGCTTGACGCTTACGGGGGTTGTCGTACCAAAGCCAGGTTTGTAAGATGGTCAGCTATCAGATCCGCTATCGAAAAGATCTTTTATATATGCATGTTTTGATTATAAGATAAAATAAAATAGTTGAATTGATTAATCACTGATATACAACACAACACATTGGTCCCTTTTGCCCTAAAAATTACTCTTGGGTCAAGTTCATTAATAATTCTACTACAAGCCTATTTTGAATGATATATATATATATATATATATATATATATATATATATATATATATATATATATATATATATATATATTTTTTTTTTTTTGAAATTATCAAGCAAAGTCTAGTTGATTTAAAGGATTTATGGGTCGAATACATTTTTTTTAAAATTAAAAAATGTTCACAAATCCAAAACTCGAACCCAAACCCGACTCTATACACGTGGCATCTTTGGCAGGACCACAACTTTGTGGTTCACTTATATAATTCTTTTCCAATTTTCTTTCAGCTCCAAAAAGAAAATGCATAATGCAGATAAAAACCACCAATGCTTATGGTCCACAAAACACTTCTCCCGGAGCTCCGATCCATACATCTTAACCGGATACTCGTTAACGATCATATTAATTCCACAGCCAAACCGGCAACCGGGTAGGGGTAATAATCAGTTACCTGCATTAATATGTCTACAATTGCTTTACAGAGACCAGATTTGTCAAGAAGATTAAGCTATGGAGTACGAGGTTGTTATAACTTCCAGAAACTTCCATCCTCTTGTACAATGTTAGTAAAATTTTAATTCTTTTTTTTTTTTTCAAAATATAATTCGTATGCATGCCTAAATGTTCAACATTCTCAGGGTGAATTCCATGTCAAAAGAATTCTCAGTTGAACTTCGAAAACTATCTGTTCCTCAGATTGATAGTTTTAGTCCTTCAGACGTAAAATTGCAACGACCCGAATTTGTTGCATGCGAGGCTCAAACCAATGAAGAATATTGGGTTAGTGACAACTTCTATATAGCAATTATACCAATTTAATTGTTGCATATTCAGATTCAATCATTCAAATAATCGATGTTTTTTTTTGATAGACGGCAGCATGGCTAAGAGCAGAGTCTCATTGGGAGGGCCAAGAACATGATCGGTGCGTATGTGCCCAAGTTTTATATTCGAAACGGAATTCTTGCACAGTGCAGCTAATTGATTTTATTTATTTATTATTATTTTTTATTTACTGCTCAAAATCTTGAGTTTTTACCTTGTAATAATGCAGATACGTTGAAAACTACAAACGGAAGTTCGCACAACAGGTAGGATAAATTATCAATTTTCCTCTTTTTAATTGCAAATAATCGGGCAATTAGTCATGATAAACATTCTTATGAACTCTGCATTGTCGTCTTATAGGAGTTTCACGAGATGAAAACGAGATACAGTTCACAAGTCGGAGAGAATTGCAAATGCATTGTGATGGTAAAGTCTAGCTAAGTTTATATATAATAAATCCATTTGTAAGGCAATTTGCAAGCTAATAATCTCGTCTTAATATTTAATTTTTTTCTTTTAATTAGGTAAAGAATGAGGGCATAAATGCGAAGGGTGCCGAATCGAAGAGTGTCGTTGGAACCTTGGACTTGAGCATTCGATATTTGTCTCACGGAGAGAACTTTCCAGGGGTATAAATAACGCAAAAATTAATCGCCATTTGAACTTCACTAGTCTTTATTTACTTACTATATTTTATTATCTCAGGAACGAGTTATACCCCCTCTTTTCTGCCTTGTCGATAGACAAACCACAAGCAGATACGGCTATATATCAAACTTATGCGTTGCTAAATCAACTCGTCGACAGGGTATTGCAAGCAGCATGCTCAAATTCGCCGTTACATCTGCCAAGGAACTTGGTATATATATATATATATATATATATATATATATATATATATATATATATATATATATATATATATATATATATATATATATATATATATATATATATATATATATATATATCGACTGATTATTGAAATAATGTGACTATACTTTACGTACATAAATGTAACGAAAATATCTCTTGTGCAGGTGCGGAGAAGGTGTTTGCCCATGTTTACACAAATAACAAATCAGCTCAGAGCCTATATCAGAAGATGGGGTTTGAGGTATTTTCATCATTTCGAATGCTCGTTTTCGTTTTCGTTTTTTTTTTTTTTTTTAATTCAACGATCGAATCGAAAGAAGCAGAAGAAATGGTGATAGATGAATTCTGAATTCCAGGTTGTGGATGCAGCAACTTCTCGACTCTCCGCCGATCGAATGTACTTGCTGTGCCTTGATTTGAAGCTTCATACTTGTTTTGATATTTATTCATTCTCTATTTAATTGTAATTTCAAATCACATAAGTATAACTAACTTTTTTTTTTTTTAATTTAATTTATTTATAGAAATAAGTATATAACTAACTCAATATTGCAAAGAATAAATACTTGGAGATGAATAGTAAAGAATGTAATTATATAAATAATATTATAATAAATAGTGAAGAATATAAATCACAAATTATTTCACCCCCAGTCCAAAAAAAAAAAAAAAACAGTTGCCCGATGGCAGTGATGCTCGATGAGTCGATAGCCCTCGTGGATGGTGCCGCTGCCGGTCAAACTGCTTTGACCACCGCTGCAATATTCGGCGGCAGCGTAGCAGCAGCCATTATTCTGGTTAACGGAGTGCCCAATTTACCCTACATTCCCAACAAATTTGGTAATTTTCCGGTACGAATTGCGGCTCAATATGCACAGAGAGACATGCTTTAAGTAACTGATTTCGATCACCAAGGACGACGATCAGTGGCAGAACCCTTACGCTGGCTTCGCCGGAACCAAACTTGTCGTTGTTTGCCATTGATTCCGAATTCTCCGGTCAGCAGCTAGATAGATTGATTTGTGCATTTGCCAATTAAGATGACAAATATTGATTAATGATGTGTTAATTCTGATCGCATATTTTGCACTGGAGTTGGTGGAGAAGTACCCTGATTTCGTTAGTATTTTCTTTTATTTTAATTTTAATTTTTTTTATTTTTATCTTGCCTTGAAGGTGTTTGATAAATTGTGCACAACACTCAGGCCTGATATTAACTAATTTTCAGGTTTAGTAGACAACACCAAGGTTAAGATGTTGCTGAAGTTACAAGCTCGAGAACTCGTTAAACGTCTGTGCAAGGAAATCGAGCCATGGAGTAACTATACGGCAGCTTACGCCATCAATTCTGATGCCATCATGACATCAGCACAATTAGGGATCCCGACATTGTTGAAGAGATTGCCGAGGCTTTCTCAGTTGCTGTTTATTGTTACAATCAAGATGTGATGCTTCGCAGAAACAGCAACACGAAGACTTTGAAATAAAAATACTGACATAAAGTCCAAGTCAATGTCAGAACAAGTGCTTCTAATTAAATCATAAAAGCTTTGAAGTACTATAATTTATACAGCTGAAATGTATGTAGAGAGCTTCATTCAGAATTCATCAAGAGGATCACTTTAACTGGCAAAAATGATGGCGTTGCCTTCCTCACGATTCGTGAATAGCAACATCAGTAATTTCGACTATATCATTAATGGTAACTACTAATTAATTATCGCTCTCTCTCTCTGATTCTTGAAAATAACCACAGTTTATTTTTTTTTCCGAAAATAAAAACAGTTGAAGATAGTCACCAAAGCTGGTCCTTACCCCTGTACAAAGCCCTAAACCAGGGTAACTGGGAGATTGTAGAGATGATCATGAGACAACAGCCTGCGGCAATCACGGCAAGGCTGACGCCGTTCGCCGAGACACCGCTCCTGGTGGCGGTCAAGGCCGGGCAGGGGCTGCCCTTTATAAAGAAACTGTTGAATTTTATGCCGCCAGAGGCTCTGGCCCTCACCGACTACTTCGGCAGCTCCGCCCTCCACGCGGTGGCTGTGCTGGGAAACACCCAGGCCGCTAGGCTGTTTGTCGAGAAAAACGGTGATCTGCCGAATTTTTGGAATGTGGACGGATGTTTGCCGATCCACTTGGCTGCAATGCGCGGACACAGAGAAATGACGTTGTACCTCTTCTCTGTTGCAAGAGAAAATGGTAATTCGGACCCTTTTAAGGATGCTGCTGGTGCCACACTTATGCGCTTTGCTGTAGCTGCTGGATTTTATGGTAACTTCCTAAAATCTTTCATTTGCAAAATCTAGTGGTTGACCAAATTGTCTTAGTTAGGAGATTTATGCCTATAATCTGTGTGGCTTCTGTACAATATTTAGATCTCATTTGGTTGGTAAGATGTTCTTGGATGTTTGGTTACTCAAATAATTTTTCGAGCACAATACAATAGGGTTTTCATAAATATTTATTTGGGTAAATTACTTGTAGATTTAGCACTGTATCTGGTTGAGCACAACCCAGAATTGGCATGGCAGCATGAGATTATAACTTCATTAGAACTGCTAGCTGAAGAGCCTTCTGCTTTCGCAAGTGGAATGGACTTTAATATTTGGCAGTTTTTGATCTATTCGTGTAAGTTTTCTCATTTTTTTTATTTAACTGTTTCATGATCCATTATTTTTTCTGCTTTCTAATATTATTTGGAATTTAGGTGTTCCTAAGAAGCTGATTGAGATGCCAGAGAGCTTAGTCGGCACTAAGAAATCACCAATTTATTCTTCTTCCTTCAATATGCGAAGACGTTGTTGCAGGAATCTGTTTTCAAGAGGAAAGTTACCTATATCTCTAATATATGCTTTTTGTTTTGTATTATTATATTATTATTTGCTTTAGCTTATTCTCAGCTTATTTTTGCAGCTTCTCAAGAATTACATATGATACTTTGGAAGGTTCTCGAGACATTAGGTATTTATAAATATATATGTATATATCAAGATACAATTTTTTAGCAAATCCTCAAGATCATTATATATTCATTACTATAATTTGTGTACTGATTCGCAGTGATACCTCTAAAACGTGTACGTCACAAAAAAGCTATGCATCGTCATGCACACCAACTAGTGAAGAGATTGTGCTCGGAAATCAAGTGTTTGGATAATGCAAAAGCTTCGTCCATACTTACAGGGCCGTTCCTTATTGGGGCACAAAACGGGATCCACGAGATTGTCAGAGAAATACTGGAATCTTTTCCTCATGCAATAACCTTTTTAGACGAAGAGAACCACTCTGTATTCCATCTTGCAGCAATGTATCGACACGAGAAGATATTCAAGATTGTTCATCAGCAAAGTGGACAGTATAAGATGTCTCTGTCAGTGTTGCTGGATAATAGGGGGAATAATATACTGCATTTGGTGGCATGTGGGCCCCATCAAGACCGGCTCGATTTTAGCTCTAGAGCTGTTCTTCGGATGCAGCGTGAACTACAGTGGTACAAGGTAAACTTATTTTCCGCTTGTCCGAAATATATTTTTAATAAGCTTATTGGGTGCCAAAACATGTGGTGATTAACAGACAAATATGCACAAAATCCTCATATGTTCATTTGTTTCGCACACTCTTTATTAATAACTAACGGAATTACTTATGCATGATAAATTTTCAAGTTTACCCCTCAATTGAACAAATTGTACCATAATGGACCTGATGTTATTTCGTGCTTTAAAAAATAAAAGAAGTAATACAAGGGAAATTTGATGCAAGTTTTTTAACATAAGGTAAATTTATGCGAAATATAATTTAGTTTAAAACTCGAACTTTTTAAAAAAATGAAGCGCCGTTGCACATTTACTCTGTGAAATGCAGGGATCAGATGGAAGGAGGATTTCATGAAGAAAAAAAATAATAATAAAGGAGAGTTTTGCACACACACACACACACACACACACATATATATATAATTATATATATATATAGGAAATTTGATGCATGTTTCTCTTAACATTGTGTATGTTTACCATCTTTAATTTCATATTGATCTCTGGAAAGAAAAAAGGAAAAAAGAAAAAGAAAAAAGATCACCTCACCATTTCTATCTATACCAGGAAATCGAGACATTTGTGCTGCCACATGAAAGGAAGTCGAAGAACGCAGACGGCAAAACCCCACTAACAATCTTCAACGAAGAGCACCGTGAATTGGCTGCGTATGAGACCCAGTGGATGATAGGCATGTCCACGTCATGCACAGTCGCAGCCTCACTCATCGCCACCGTGGCATTTGCTGCTGCAATCACAGTACCTGGCGGGACCACCTCCGACGGCTCCCCAACATTCTCCACAGAAAACGCCTTTGTGGCCTTTGCCGTTTCTGACGCGCTCGCCCTTCTCTCGTCCCTCACAACTGTCCTGTCGTTCTTATCCATTTTCACTTCACGTTACACGGTCAATGATTTCCTCTATGCATTGCCGAATCGGTTGATAATTGGTCTGATCTCACTCTTTATGTCGGTGACATCCTTAATGCTTGCGTTTAGTTCGACTATGTACCTTGTGGCTGCTCAAAAGAATGGCCTTATCCTCATACCCATAATAGCGTTGGCTTGTGTACCCGTGACCCTTTTTGCATGCCTGCAGCTTCCGCCGCTTCTTAATATGATCAAATCCACGTACGGTCCTAGCATTTTCGATTAATTAGTTGCTGCGTTTATATTTTTTTTTTCTTTTCGTGTATGTAGGGTGTTTACGCAAGACCGTCCGTCTCGATGGGTGGAAATTATATTGTACGGAATGCTGAACCTGATACTCCACAGTTCAGTTTGGTTATTACAATGGGTGGAAATTGGAACAGAATTTTCGAAGATATTTCCGATTTTGGAACAAGTTTATTTTTATTTTGATGTTCATCTTTTCTGCAAATTTAATTTTAGAATGGAATTGGGAATAGTGGTTCATCGCTACTTACATAAATGAATAAAGAACGAATATCAAATTTTGTTCAAACTTTATGCAAGTAGATATTAAAATGTTGGGTAAATTACTAACACTCTTTGAGGTAAGTTTAAATTACGAAAAAACCCTTCATGTATGGGATAATTACAACCATCTCCTCAACTATGTATTGTCTTATGAAAAATCTTATAATTCAGTATGTAGGTAAATTTGATGGGGGCAATATTTTTTTTTGGTGTTGTTTTGTATTGTAGTTTTTAAAATAGGGTTGTTTTGGGGGTTGTAACAGAATTGGGGTTAGACGCCAGCCACAACGGCGGCACCTGCCGTTGGAGCCGTAGAAGATGCCAGAGGTGGTGGCGTCTTCTCTTTAAATATTAATATTATAATATTATAATATTATAATATTATAATATTATAATATTTTAATATTATAATATTACAATATTTTAATATGATAATATTTTAATATTTTAAATATCTATCTTAATATTTTTAATATTTTCTGATTTTAATTTTTTATTTTAAATATCTATCTTAA